GCAGTGGCTTCTGGGATGTGACGCCATGTAGTTTGGTATCTGTCTACAAAACTACACTGACTTCTAATTAAAGCACCCACTCGTACTGTGTCACATTTCCCTGTTCTCCTACTAACTGCAAGTTCCGCGAAGGAATGTCAGGCTTCCTACGTTCTCAGTACATCAGTACTGGTCAGCATTACTCCAGGACAGCTTATTGTGGATTCTGGCAGTGAAGAATGACCAATTACTGTCCTATTTCAAGACGCCATTTCAACTCCATATATTGTGTAGCGTCGAGTGATAAGATGATGCGTGGATAATGTGAAAGGAAATGGTCGTGATCTATTTTACGGTACCACCCCGACGTTTGCCTGGAAGGACTGAGTAAAACCAGGATAGGTAGTCTCCAAACCGAGATTTGAACCCAGAATTCCCGAATACAACAGGAATGCCAGCAACTCTATCACAATATTGCTTGTGATAATCAAGAGAGGAATTTCAGTATCGAAACATTCACATTCGACCTATCGTCACAACTAAATATACATTAACAGCCACTATAACCAATTGTGGCTCCGTGTTCGGCACGGTATTATGCGGTATTTTCCTACCTCCTGCCACTTCAGCCCTCTTCGGTCCAAATATTCTCATCAACTTGTCCTCCTTCATGTCAGAGACCAAGTTTCACACCCATACAAAACCACAGGTAAAATTAGTCTATATGTGTAGGCTATTATGAAGTACAAAGCTCACTAAGATTCACAGTTTTTATTAGGAATATGTGTGGACATGATGTGCATGTAGCGAAATACAAGGGAAAATGTTTATGGCTCAGGGACGGTAAAAAAAAAAAAAGTAAAGCTATCCCTGTAACAGGCCGTGAAGGCCCATAGGGTTGTGAGACGTCGAGGCTCCCACACCATCTAGACCAGCCGTGTCAAACATGCGGCCTTTCAACTTTTAGAGCTAATTGATATTAAAATCAATATTAAAATTTTAGTAGAAATATTTTTTGTAAAAGCAATTTTCCAACAGACCAGAAGACAAGAAGTCTCACGCAAACGTAAATTAGCAGGCTACAGGAAATTCAATATTTTGCTATTTCTAACATAATTTCTTGTGTAATCTCTCTTTTTACATATTGAAAAGCTGTTTGATACTTGTCAAAAATGGCATTCTCTTGCTTTTTAAAACTGTAAGATATGTGACTTTAGGTAATTATATTGAAATTATTNCTGTTAGAGGCTGAGGCGACCCCAGGACCATAGTGCGGCCGGAAGGATTAGGTCAATTGAAAAAAAAAATCCAATGGACGGTAGCATGATTATTTCTGAAGCAACAAGATGTGGACGCCGAGGCAAGGGTGGAATTAAAACTCGAAAAGACGCATATAGGAATTATACCCCCACGCCTTTCACTCTTGTTTGTCCGTGATTTCATGTGGTAATATTGAAAAGTTGGTAATACAGCAGTAATTTCAACGTGGCTAAAATTGAAACGAGCCTCAGAATAAGAGCTGATACAAATTTGATCTTAGTTCCCTTTTAATCTCCGGGCCCTCATTTGGACCATGAGGGAAGAGGAGCGTGGGGGGGGGGTCGCAAGGGATGAAATTATAATATAATGTATTCGTTTGCTCGTCACTTCTTTTTGCATTTCCTGTCACCCTACTCCGGAAAACTAAGTTTCCTTTTTATATTTCTAACGTTAAAAAATCTTGAAATATTAAAGTTTGACTTGTGCGAGGAGCAGATTACGTTCGAAAGAAAAGAAGAAAGAAATGGGAGAATGAAGAAAATTGCATTAATACTACCTCCACCACACTCTCTTATTTCAGAAGCGTTGCCATCTCAGTCAGTGGCGGCTAGTAGAATTATTTATTATTATTTTCATCTTCATCGTCCTTATTAACAAAGCACCCGTTAATAATGCAACAATTTTTTAACATATAAAAGATATCTCAAATATGTTTCTCACTAAAAGTGCCACTTTAATACTTTACGATGTTGTTGTAATCATAAAATGTCATCAAGACGCTAAAAGTATAACTTATGCACTAAAAGTGATCATCAAATTACCAAAATGTCTTTAGTTCTACATATGTTTCTTCTCACTTAACATGTTTCGGCCGCACATGGGCCATCATCAGGCATTTTACTTTTGTTTTCGGGGAGACCACTGCACTGTTCACTTGTCTATCGTTATTGTTTAGTTTTTATCTCACGACCAGAATGCTGTCTTTGTACTCTTTTGCGGCCATCTTAGTTTTTGCGTGTCGTGTTTCTCTCGTGTATGTGTTACTAGTGCGGTCTTCCTCTATAAAATCATCATCATCATCAGTGGTGGTGGTAATAGAGCCTAATTTGGGCGTTGTCTTCTTCTGTTACATTACACTCGTAGGTTCTTTAACTAAGATATAGTGACAGGCCGCGGTTAGTCGCTGGCTTCCCACCGCGGCGGCCCGGGTTCGATCCGAGGTCTGGTCAAGTGAGATTTGTGGTGGACAAAGTGGGGCTGGGGCGGGTTTTCTCCGAGTACTTCGGTTTCCCCTGCCAATCTTCATTCCACCAAATTCTCCATCATCATAATCACCCGGGGCATGCTACAATAGGCTAATCAGTGGCCGCCGTGCCGAGTGGACCCAGCTGGACTCCACTCCCCACTAAGCGAATTAAAAAAAAAAAGATATAGTGACAGAATCTTTTGAATGGAACATACACCCATCGTAAGGTTTATATCATCACAAGACAAGGGAGTAAAATAAGGACTAACCTGCATACTCCGAGCGGGATTGCAACCCACGATTCAAGTGTTGAGCGGTCGAAGAACGCGCGACCGCCGTTTCGGCAAGTTTAGAAACGGCATGAAAACCGAGAGAAATGAGTGAAAAGGAAGGAGAAGTTGGTCTCTGGACTCGAACTTCGGCCGTCTATTATAAGATTTAACAGACAGGCCTACACAACGATTTTGTGACGACGCGTCGGAATGTACGCCTTGAAATACCCTATAATTGTTTCCTCCTTAATTTTTACAATACAGGCCCTGCAATTCATAATGATTCTTTTACCTCATTAATACTATCTAACTACGGCTCTACAGCCCTTTGTTGGACCTCGGGAGTTTTTCAACTTCATCTTTTACACAGTAAGTAGGACTCCTTGGACGGGGGATCAGCCCGTCGTAATGTACTTAATACAGCATTGTTAAATATCATACATGCCTGCAACAATCTCGCGCCGCCTCTGACAGATTTAGAACTTCTTCCATATTCCTTGCTCGAAATCTCGATACATATGCATGAGTGCAAACAAACAAACAAACAGAACACTTAAAATTGAATTTAAAAACTTGCGTGAACAAAAGAAAAGTAAATCTTTATGTTTCTGATGAAATTACCCATAGCATTACCTGATTGGATTTACAGCGGTGCGTGATGGCAATAAGAACACTAAATGGGATTCACAGATATTGAAAAGTTTGATTAGTTCATGACACCTTCCAGCAGCCCGCGTGGGTTTGGAGACGTCTAGAGTTTATAGCACTGTCTTCTCAGACTCATAGCACCGTACAATATCGTGTCCGCCGACTCCCCCCCAGCAAACCTTTGAATTCACCGACTATCTTTAATTAAATTGAGCATGAACATAGCTCAGTCGATATAGTGACGGGTTAAATTCTAAAGGTCGAGGAATGTTGTTTCGATTCCCGGCAATGGAAAGTTTCTGTTCAGTTGCGAACTGGGAAGTCTTTTCGCCCGCAGCATGAAACTGACTATCCACGTATAATCAGTTCCAAGGTTACACATTTCATGGGTGATGCGCAGTTACGTATAGGGCACTTTACATTGTATGTATGACGACCGTTGTGAGAACTATGGGCCTAACGCCTTATGACTTATAAATGACGATGAAACTATGATTTTGTAACTGCATATAATCATAACAGCACTCTTTGTTTGTAATATTCTGTGTCCCGGAAATGTAAATATTCGGCATATCAACATATGCTCTATCACCAAATTACTAAGCGGATTCGCATAGCGCTAACGCTCTCGTCTCGTATTCGGGAGGTACTCGGTTCGAATTTCAATATGAAAATCTATTACTACCAAAGTGAAGTATATCTTGGTTTTCCTCAGTTCATTCAGGCGAATTAGGCCACGATCACTTCTTTCCAAACCTTGTTCAGATCATCAATCCTTCATTATCCATATATTCGACGCTATATTATCGATATTGAAACGTAGTTAAATAACCCACAATGAAATATCCGGTTTTTAGTAGAAAGAAGAGGAACACAGTCACAAACCCTGACTTTTTTATTAGTATCTTTAATTGCCTTACTCTGCAGGTTGCTTAAAAATGGCACGGGTTAGGCAGCGCCAAAACAAATAGTGTTTGGAGACGCACGCTATCTCAACACTTTCGGTGCATGGTAACGTCCTAATATTTTGCTCAGTTTCTTGAAGTGCGAGAGACGTTGGAAAATACGAAGCTCGTTGTGAGCCAATTTGAAATTTCGGTATAATTGCCACAAATTACAACTGTATTAATGCTGTATACAATTATTATATAATGAAATTTAATTGAGTGTAACAATTATGTATTTTTTAACAACTCCAGCTAGGTAGACGTCAGTTTTCCATTTTGGAGCGGACAACGCGCGATCTTCGTTAACGGAAGGATCGCAAGATTGAAATGTGTTGCCACCTGTTGGCGGACATCTCAACTATTACCGCCGTACAATAGGCAATGGTGTATTGTCCACGGGTACATAGAATCACTGATCACTACAAACGTTATGCATTTAGACATAATCCTAAGCTGAAATTCACCCTTGAATGATAAACAATGAGGAATATACTTCTTTATTTCCTATGACGAGAGTTAGGAATGTGATTCATACAACTCCTGTGTACGAGAATAATATGCAAAGTTTACATAATGCGCAACGTAATCACATAGCGTTTGCTCAATTCGCTAGCATCTCGCTAATGGAATTCACCCGATTGTCAAATGCAGTCGATGGTTCCCCAATAAGATGGACAATATCAGCTGTAGAGATGGGGAAAGTGGGCGTGTAGAGTGAAAATACGTACACACAAACATGCGACAAAATATTGTAAGACAAGTACGCATGTTACATGTTAATAATAGGAATGCATCCAAGAACATTTGAATCCAGCCATCAAAAGTGAAAGTTCCCATTACGTGTTTCTGTGCCCATCAAGTGCTGTCAGTATAAAATTAGGCTAAAAATGTGTTTGAGTGTTATTCCAATACCGAGTGTTAAATACTGAATAACATAATGGCATTGAGCCTGAATATACTGTCGGCTGGTAGTCACCATCATTTAAGTCGGGTTTTCGCGAACCTCTGTGTGATTCATGGACATTTCTGTTTAAAACGGAAGAAACCCGTTTGTTCATGTTCATTTTTGTTCAAAAAGGAAGAAACGTGCTTGTTCACATTCATTTTGCCTGTGTAATTAAAATCAGTCTCACCTCTCATAATGAATATTATGCGCAAATTCCGTGTAGGAGGGGCGTCAGCCCCAACCGCTTTACAGGATGAAGCTAACTCAAATCCTCAACACACTGCTTTAGGACTCATGCACCTCAAGAAGTTATTTTCTGAATATACTCATCCATCCCACCCACTCAGTGAAAAAGAACGTGATGACAAGCTGTATAACATGTTGCCTCTCTTCTGCAAGGTGAGAATTTAATTCAATATTTTGTAATAAAGACAAACCATAATTGCAAAATTGAATTCATCTTGTAGGATCTGAGGTTCTTGTAGTGATGGTTATGATGAGTTCCATCTTCTTAGATATAATTCCATGTAGTGTGTTGAAACTGGACCAACATTTCAGAGGAACACGCCACCTCCATCTTTAGCGCTGAAATGCAAGCCAAATACAGGTGCGTGCTGCCTGCCTGGTTTCTTGCTTGACTTTCTTTTCAACCCTGAAGATGTAGGTGCCATGTTCCTCACAAACATCAGCTGACATTCAGCAGACTGCACAGTATTACATCCTGAAAGACAGAACTGTTAAATTCATCTTGTTAATGACTGACCTAGGTGAGTGGACAATATTAAAATGGATCTTAGAGAGACAGGATGGGATGGTATGGAGTAGATCAATCTGGCTCAGGATGGGGACCAGTGAGGGGCTCTTGTGAACATGGTAATGAACCTTCAGGTTCCATAAAATGCTGGGAAGTTCTTGAGTAGCTGCACAATTGGCAGCTTCTCAAGAAGGGCTCATCTTCTCCATGAGTGATATATGTAATGACTGACCTAGGACCCATGGGAAAACCCTTGGTTTAGCAATAACTAAACTGTAGCTGTATCTTATGGTTGTTTGTGTCATGTTGTTTATATTGAACAATGTGAGAGAGAAATTATTTCTTTAAAAAAGAAGTAAAGCTACCCCTGTACCAGGCCATGAAGGCCTATAGGGTTGTGAGACATTGAGGGTCCCACATTATCTAGACAGTCGGCTCATAGATGGCGGTAAGGTTGTCAGCCATCTGCAGCATCTGAAGGGGCTTCGCCTACCAGCAAAGTAATGCCATTTTATAGTGAGTCAAAATCTGTTCTTATGATTTACTAAATTAGCAGAAATTTATGTTCCTTTACTGTAATGCAGTTCCAGCACGAAGTACAATCAATATCTTTTTCATATTGTTACCCAGTGCCCTCATGGTAGCGTAGTTGGCTGAGGGGCTATGCTACAAGCCAGAAGGTTGCGGGTTCAAGTCCCGATGAGGCCACTGGATTTTTTTCAATTGACTTAATCCTTCCAGCTGCACTAGGCTCTGGGGTTGACTCAGCCTCTAACAGAAATGAGTATCAGGAATTAATTAAATAATTTTCCTGGGGAGTAAAGCATGGCTGGTGTGTATGGCTGACAACCTTACCGTCATCTATGAGCCAATTGTCTAGATAATGTGGAACCCTCAATGTCTCACAACCCTATGGGCCTTCATGGCCTGTTACAGGGATAGCTTTACATTTTTTTTTTTTTTACTTTTACCCAGTGCCCTGATATATTGAATCGCAACCTTTTGGAAAGCATAAAATGTAATTATTACATTCACCATGTAGTCAGTAGCAGTATGCAGGGAAATGGGCTCGACTTAGTTGGAGATTGGGCTTGATGCATATATATTACAATGGAATGAAATGTTCCTTTGTCATTGGACCAGTGATACCCTTGCACTTTACTGTGAGCCATGAAAGTTTAATTTTATGCAGAATCTACTAATACAATACATGCATGTTCAGTTAAGCTCTCTTTGCACAGGGTTAGAAATTTAGCTTTGAATCAAGCCACAAAACTGTGAGGATGGAAGGTGGATTAACTCTTGTCAGACCATTAATAAATTCTTCACATGGGACAACAGTCATTAATGTTGAGCTGTCTGTCATTAACCACTGTTTGCATATGTGTATGCAGGGGTGGTGATAAGTCTTTGGCTTTTCCTATTTCATCTATGGGTGGTTTGCAGCACAACCAAAAGAATTGTTCTTGGATGGGTTAAAGATGTTAGAACAACAAAGTCATAAATGTATGGAGCTCAAGGGGGAATATGTAGAATAAATACATTTTTTCAATCCCATAGTGTGTTGCTTTCTTTATAAAGCCAAAGACTTCTTGGTCCCCCCCCACACCCATCATATCCCCGAATTGAAAACTGTCTGCTGTAGAGCATAACTTACATACCGCATCAGACCCAGGGCAGCTTTACACCATGTTGAAGTACATGTTTTGCTTCCTGTTATGCACACAATTTTCTGCACTGAAATCAGCCATAAGATGCACTCCTTTCACCATGAGTATTATGTTCTGATGAATGCCACAGACACGTGCTAGAAAAGAACAGAATATAATTTATTTACAAGTAGTTACTATAGGATTCTGATGATAGTGTATAACACACAGAGATATTGGGTTTTCGGACCTTATCCATCGTCCTGGTTTTAAGATAACTAAGAAAAAGACGACGTTTTGGAAACTGGATCTGTTTTTGTCTTCAGGTGAGGGAAAACACCTATTCTGTTGGGTCCCTTAGAAAGAGCTAGCCTCAATCACTGGACCACCTGAGGATGGAAACAGATCCAGTTTCCGAAACGTCATGTTTTTCTTAGTTATCTTAAAAACCAGGACAATGGATAAAGTCTGAGAACCCAATATCTCTGTGTATAATTTATTTACAATCCACAAATCCTTCATAAGCCTAATCCAAGGATGCACAATATGCCGTAATATAAATACAGTAGTTGTTTCTGTTGCAAATTTAAATACAAACTTACTTCCATCTTTAATACAAGTTTATGTACAATTTCTTAACTTAAGATAATATTAAAATTACAATTTAACTGGTACATGTTTCAGCCTTACTTGGCCATCCTCAGGCAACCATTCATTTGTTGAAATTGCTACACTGCATTAGTTTGTTCTTAAGTTAAAATATTCTAATGTTATTGCATTTTTTGTCTTTCACGTTATCATACATTTGCTTGAGAACATCATTCTTTATCTTTTGTTCTTTATCCATGTTTTTTGTATTGTTTTGTTTAGCCGTATGAATATCAGTGTTGTGTTATCTTTGTTACTTTTATGTGCATGTCAGTTTATTGTTATGGATGACAATAAAGTGTCACATGTTGCGTGAGAACATACATATACTAATAGAGCACATAAAAATTATAACTTATATGTATTTATAATGGAGAATTATTTATTCAGGTATGTCTTCTACAGAGTAGGAGCAAAGTAGGAAATATTTTTTGAATTCTATCTTAAACAGTTCAGTATCATACTCAAGACGTTTGATTGTAGGAGGAAGATTACTGTACTGGAATTAAGTTATTCAGTAAACTCCTTTCTTCATATTTACAGAGGTTAGTGTCTGGCACAAGGTTATGTCTGTATCTTGTATTTATATTGTGTATATCTGAATGCATAAGTGAAGAATGTTGTACTTGGTATGCACATCATAATGATATAGCATGCAAACTTTTCCTTACAGCTATCTTGTGTCTCCGGTAAGGGCCACAGCATTTTCTTCCAAACAGATCTACTACAGTAATGTTATGGTGATGCAAACATACTGTTTTCAAGTGGCCTTATTTCCTCAGCCAGAGGAAATTTTTCTTATTGTAAGTTTTGAAGGTTCAAAAGGCCAGTATATAATTGTGGTAGTCATTTTGTGTTAGCTCACATATCGAACAAGGCTGCATTGCGTTTCTTCGCCTTTGAAGGGTATAATTATTAATTATAGGTATGGAAGAGGCGAATTGTCTAAAACTTAGTGCTTCTATGAAGCTAATTTAATTTCAAATTTTATTTCAGAAGTCAAAGAATATTGCAAAACGTATATATAAGCTGTTGTATACGTAACGCCTAATTCACTTGTTAATTTTTACTGCACCTCGTAATTTAAAGCATTATTCAAGCGTTAAACGGATATTCCTTTCCATCCCTGATAACACAGCTTCGTAACGTAGGAGCTTTTAACCTAAACCTTGTCGTCATCTCTGACTTTTGGCGCGAACCAACAAGGAATTGCCGTGACGTTGCCAGTACGTCATTCCGCGGCAACTGATACCGGGACGTACCGCGTAGGAACAAAACTGAACGTTTTCGTAAGAATAATTTAATATAATATTAAATTTGATTTGTGATTGATAATATTAACTGAATGTTTATACTCTGTTCTTTCCCTAAGAGCAGGTGTTATTGTTGACAGTAATTCGCCTTTGTCATAATACTCGAAAACAGTTTTGCGTAAAACAACTCTTTGGAAGTCGTCCAAGCTTTTCGTTCTTTATGGAATATGTGTGTCGTTTCTGGGTGACAGAAACACCTTAGCCTTTTCTTTTCCCTCCTTTGCCTCCGTACGTACGCGTGAAACAGTCGGCATGCAGCACGCCTCGGCAGTCAGATGCTGGCGTGCAGAGAAATCCAGTCAGCTTCATTTTTTTGCAGACGTATATTAGTTAAAAGAAATTATGCACGTTAAAAAATATTTTACGTTGCTACCTTAACAACTGGGAGAACAAGGATAGCTCATTTGGTATAGCAACTGGCTGTGGGGCTGGACAACTAAAGGGTCAGAATTCGGGTCTCGGTAGGGGAAAGATTTTTCTCTTTTCCATGTCGTCCATACCGGTTTTGGGGCTCACCCAGACAACTGTCCAATGGTTACTGAGAGCACTTTCCTCAGGGATAGAGCAGCTGGGCCATGAAGCTGACCACTCACCTCCAACTAGTGCTAAGGTCAAGAAGACGTGGATCTATACGTCCAGTCCCCCATACACCTTAATGGTGTAGTAGGAACAACTGGAATGACCACTACTGCTTGTACTGAGTAATCAACATTGTATTCAGACAGTTTGAATCAGAAACTGTATACAAAATAGTTGACATATGTATTGTTCCACATTAAAATCTACTAAAATGCTAGAAGTTATAACACAGATACTCACAGTACTTGTTTCCAGCTGAAAGAAGCACTAACAGAGCTTGAATGTGGCAGTCGAATCGCAGACGAAAGACAATTTAATCATTTATTTGCATTCCTGGTCTAGTGCTCCTTGTTTACATTATTGAGACTGAGGTGGCCAGCTGGGGTGTTGTGAAATAATATGCAATTCCATGAAGTCTGGATGAGTCAATCCCATTATAGTATGCAGAGTGGCTACAAAGTCCCTTTGCTGTGAAGTTAAGCATGTCTGTATGTTGCTCTCCATTTTTTGAACGTTGTTTGATATATTCCCATGATCTGTTAGAAATCTTATATGCTGAAGGCTGAATGTCATAGTAGCAACCGCTGATGACAGTTTTTAGCTCTTGAACATTTGTTAGCTGCAGTCGAGAAATATTTTGTTTTACGATGCTTCACAGTGAATTATGTTGTCTGGTCTTTATTTTGAAGTGGGCAATGCCAGTCCTTCATCTACTGAATGAGTTACTGACATTCTCAAAGTAAGAGAGCATAATGGAACATCATATAACTGCACTGTGCATGTAGATTCAAGACCACTTTCACGAAATTGCGAAGCGAACCAGCACTTTCAGATATGCCATGTGATGGACACTTCTGTAAAAAAAAAGTGTGGACCATTTAAGGGATATTTTTAAATATCTGCAAATTTCATAACATGAGATGGGTGCTGCTGAGTTTCCTCATAAAATAAGGGATTTTCTTGCACCAGAAATGAACATTGCTGACTTGTTTGCTGTGATAAATAGCATGTCATCTGAGGAAAAAAAAAGTTCTGCCTTGAATAATTGAAAGGAAAGCACCATATGAGTCTTGTATTCAGCCTCAGGTGAATCCATATCTTTTTCAGGAAGTTCGTTGATATGCTCAGGTTCAAATGACTTCAACCTTAAATCTTCTTCATTATTTTTTGTAGAGCTGAGTGTAGAATGCCAAATTCAGAACACTTATAACTTTGAAATATGTAAGGAACAGAGAGAATGAAGCAGTGCTTCCATCTCATGGTTTTTAGTAACATTTGGTAAACCAAAATGGCAGTTAGATTTTGTACCATTTGGTGTTGTGTTGTAGTTTCATCTTATGCTTCATCCTATTAGCTGTTGTCAATAGATTTTTGATGGTAGCTCCATCCTTTTCATTTTAATATGATCATAATAGCTTAATGACTTAAGAGAGAACATTGATTTCACCTTCCCTCATTTGATGAGTCTAAAATCCAGCTTCTGTTCTGGCATGTGGCACGTGACGTATCTGATCATCTTTTATTGCTTGTGTTAGTTAGTTAGTTATTGGAGAGGGTGGGTTTCCCCATGCACTTAGACCAGTATTGGTCCATTGTGCTTCCCTCTATGATATTCTACCAGTCTCTGTAACCTACCGATATTGGTGCATACCATCAGTCCTGACCAAGCCAGCGAGTTCGGCCTCTACTGGCTTAGCGGTATCTATAATGCTTCCCCCATCTATCAGAGGCGTTAGAGACTACTGTTGGGCGGGAAATGTCCTTGAATTTGGCTCAGTGACCTCCTTTGGAGATATGAGGTTCTTTTACGTGCTGTAAAGCTACGACACGGGACCCACGGCTTAAAGTCCCTCCCGGAGGACTTGTTCCCTGAATTTTTCCGCCCTTAAAAATTCCACGACCTCCGCCGGGTTTGAACCCGCGTACCACGAGTCATGAGGTGAGAACATTATTAAAATTGCTTGTGTTATATAGCAGCAGTATTACTCCTTTCCATTTGTTTATATAACTGTACTTCCACTAACCGCTATTGCATGCTTTGTCTTCCCTTCCTTCCGTAATCCTGTCCTTTTCTTTTGTTATTTTCCCATGTCCTTTGACTGTGGTTCCACTATGAAACTTTTGACTGATTGAGCAGATGATTGATGTCTCACAATCCTATGGACCTCCACAGCTTGTTACAGGGATAGCTTTACCTTTATACCTATTGAGAATGTTCAGGCTTTAGGGGAAGTCATACATAGAAAAGTAACATGGAAGTTGTTCTTAAAGAAATAGGTACCAAGATGTGAAGTGATTTGAACTAGCTCAGGATAGAGTGCAGTGGTATTTGTATGTGTGAAAATGGTGACAGACCCTTGGGTTTTCTAATAGTAGCTAATTTCGTGAAAAGTTGAATAACCATCAGTTTCTTAAGGACATATTCCATGCGGTTAGTTAGTTACTTTCAGCTGAAGAGGTTATATGCAGCATTAAATGAAATGAGAAGGTAATTATGAATGATTAATTGGCAGGATGTAGCTGAGTACTGTTTTGAAGCGTTGGGAGCCACATGGAATTACTGAGGAAAGTAATAAAAGATTCGGCTGGAAAAGCCAGTTTTATTGACTGACATTTTACAGGCAATTCCAAAATAAAAGGTAGATACTGTGCTGCTGAGGTGTTCTTCCTGCTGTGGTACATTAATGCTGTAAGCTACATTTTAAAAATGGTCTTGAGTTACATACAGAACTTCTTATAATTCTTTGTTTTCATTTCCGAGGATTAAAATACTAGACATGTTTCAGATGTGTCATTTGCCACCCTGTCTCTTTCAGGTTGTCTTCAATCTCCCAGTTGTATTGGTTTATACAAAAGTATCACAAAGAGAAGGAACCCAATGAAATTGTATGCTATGAATTCGTAGCATTTCTTATCTTACTGTCTATAACAGCTTGTGCCGTGAAGGCCACTTGTTTGTTCATGCATTATATCACTGCATTGCTGTTGCTTATCCACTGCTTTCACCTCTTCTTATCTCTTCTCTCTTGTAACTGAACTGAACAATGCCTGACCATGCTCATTGGCCTACTAATGAACTGCACTGACTGACAGCACTTATTACTTGAGGCCTGTGTTTGCATTTAACTTCACTGAACTGAGCTTTGCAACTAGTTTCCAGGTGCAGTCACCCTTCAGGAAATTTATAGTGACATCTCAATGACATCGGTCTTCAGCACCAGCAAGCAGTTTTTTTAGAACGTACCGGAAAGCATGAGGGGGTGGGGGAGAGTCTCAGTATTTTGAACAAATGAGGAGTGCACAGGTGACATTCAACCCCCTCGCCCCTCAGCTCATTTAATCATGGAAAGAAAATGCATGATTATTCTCTGCTATAGGTATTTGGAAACAGCCCATCATCGGATATGATGGAGAAGTTCCGTGACATTGTAGCGTTCTGCCAGCAAGTGTCGCGTCTCATGGTATCAGAGATACGTCGACGGGCCTCCAACCAATCAACCGAAGCTGCCAGTTGTGCCATTGTTAAGTTTCTTGAGATTGAGAACTCAGAAGAATCTAGCAATGGATGGATGCTGCTTTCTACGCTGAACCTTCTTGCAGCTGGCAATGTATCATTGGTCGAAGTAAGACTACACCCAGATTTTTATATTTTCATTTAGTTATACATGTTTACCTTATTATATATGACACTTATTGAAAGGGGGGGCAGGATTACAGGAGAATGCCCTTTTTCAGGGCCATTGTGGTTGGGAAGCATGAAGCGAGAAGAGGGCCCACATAGAAGTGTTGTCTCAAGAGGAAGTGGCCTTCTAATCCTTAGAAAGGACCTTGTAACTGTGGTCTCAGTGGAATGATCAGCCTGTCCATTTTCACACTGACAGGAGCTTCTACATATGCATGGGTGCTGGGAGTGGGGGAAGCCGGATGATTTTGCTTACAAACTTACATTAAAGCAATTTAATAATTTTATTGATCACCCTCAAGCTTTCAGGATAGAAGAATAATTTTTGTTATTATTTAGTATATTTATTTTCTTCAATTATGATCCTTTTCCAAAAATTTGGTTGGAAGGAAGGGTGGCAGACATGTAGCTTTCCCCCTTAGCCAGCGCCCATGTACGTATGTCCAGAGTTTTCAAGTCTAGGCCAGTCTTTAGATGATGAGGGAAGCTGCGGACTTTCTGTGTTGCCTGCCTACCATCTCAACATTGTGTTTGGATAGCACAGCCTAGTGAGCTTGGAGGGGTTTTGGATGAAGGGAACAGAGGCCACCAACTTGGAACTGTCTCTGTTTTCCTTTATTTGCTGCTGAAGTGGATACAAAGCATGACAGATCTATTTTATGTCTTAACCATTTTCACATGTGCTCAGATCACACCATCCTGACAAGGTTGGAGGTGTTTTGAATGAAGGGTAGGAAGGTCACTGACCTGAAGCCATCTTTATGTGTTCTGTTTGCTGCTGCAGTTGATTTGAAAGCATACCAAATCTGTTTGGTGCCATAACCATTTTCATGAATGGTCCTCTGGAGTCAGTCCAGTTCGTTGTGGAGACTGTCCTGTGCCAAAATGCATCTACCCAGCAGCACTGCCTTCCCTTTTTGCCTCTCTGTGATGCTGCTTAGCAACAGACAGAAATTAATGTGGATTGGCTTTTTGTTCCCCATGAAGAAGTTGGCTTTCGCAGAATACAACAATGAAACCGTGACTGTTCCTAATACTGGCTGTTGAAACAGAAATATGAGGATGCCAGAACATGGTGGAGGAGTTTGATGATGTCTTCATCAAACTGCCAACTTAGAAGCTTTAGGAAGGAGGGAGATGATGTCGAAGTGATAGCTATATCTTCAGGCATCACCCGAAGTGTACTGAATGTGGGAACGATATCTTCAGGCATGACCCGAAGTGTACTGAATGTGGGAACGATATCTTGAGGCATCACCCGAAGTGTACTGAATGTGGGAGCGATATCTTCAGGCATGACCCGAAGTGTACTGAATGTGGGAGCGATATCTTCAGGCATGATCCGAAGTGTACTGAATGTGGGTCAAGTGCTCAGAATTCTCTAGAGGGTGCAGGGAGTTAATCAAATGTGGTTGCAGGGAGCCCACTATAGTTTTATGAGGCTGCAGATCAGAGCCCCACCTTTCTGATGATTAACCTGAGGGGACTCCTTCCTTATGTATTTTTGGGAGCCTATATATCCCATGGTGCCAAACCATGTGGTTACAACTGTTGAACAGTGTCTTCTGTAAGCATGAATTTCTTGATGAGAGGAGTAGTTCTGTGTTCCACTGACTGCTTGGGGCTCTGTTTGGGAGCTTCAAGAAGAAGAATGACCTGTTTGTAGTGTTCAGTGTTAAGGATAACTGTGACATATCCATAACCATCAATATTATAATAATTTTCCCAGTGGTGTAATATGATTTTTGAATATATACTACTGTCAGGGATAAACATAGGTTGCAGATATTTGGATTGGACTGCCGAGGAATATCTGTGGACCTAAAGTGATGAATCAGACTGGAAACTGACATGATTGCAAGGATGGACTGAGTTATATTATTCTCCTTAGTTGTAGGTTCTGTGTGGATACTGTTACAGGTCATGACATCGGTGTCAGTACCGTCAACACTCGTCAAGTGTCTGTATCTGTTCTTTGACTTGCCAGAAATAGAGAATCCTGATACAGCAGAAAATGGCAGTGAGTTTACACCACGGGAAAGGAGAATATTACTTCAGAAGATCTTCGTGCAGGTAAATAAACACTTACTGTGTTTACTTGAGTGACTTTTGGTTTATAAGAATATCACTTCATATAGAACATGCCTGTCCTCCAGTGATTTAGGAAGGTGTGGACTTGCCTAGACATTAACTACTTAAGTCAAAGTTAATATGTTTCAGCAGAAAAGCATACTTCACTAAATATATTCTGTATTAGCAAAGGAATGTAATTTCCTGCCTTAAATAGCTTTCACGCTTTGCAGTTTATAAAGTATGTACCTGAAAGATCGTGATCCAGACTCTTTTGATATGGGTTCAGTTTAATTCTGTCAACTTTCGGCCAACTGTGTCACACAGTGGAGACTAGAAATGTAAAGTGGTTAAATACCCCGTTATTGACCTTGGCAGTAGTTGGTAAAGAGATTCCCAGCATACAGTGGGTAGGAGGCTTGGTGGAACTGAGAGCCATTCTGGAGACAGTGGTGTCAAAGTGAACAATTCCCAATGCTCCCACCAGGACTTGGATCCTAGCCATTCACTTCATTTTACTGACTCATTTATTGTTATTTAATTTTTTGAATGAAAGACTACTTTTGAGTAAATCGTGGTGACTTTAGCCATGAAATGGAAATCTTTATTTTCCTTTGGTGCTAAATTCTCTTTCTCATGTTGGATATTTGTCAGCTGACATGAATCTCATATGCAGGTGCTGGTACGACTGTGCAGCCACGCTGCTCCTGCAGAAGAACTGGCACGTAAAGATGACCTCACATTGCTGTTCTCTGCCATCACAAGTTGGTGTCCGCAATACAATGTGATGTGGAGAAAGAGCGCAGCTGAGGTCCTCATGACACTCTCACGCCATGGCCTTACACAGCCTGTTGTCAGCTACATCCACAGTAAGAGTTATTTCATTTCACAGATGCATCATTCTTTTTTTTTTTTTTGTCTTTGCTGCCTGTCTTTCAAGTGCCTGCTGCCCTACAAACCTCTGTCCTTAAAAAATCACAGACCCTGTCCTTAAAAATGAGAATGAATTGATCCCCATCTTAAGATTACTGCCTTTTTTGTCAAGAATTTTTCCCTTAAATGTCCCTTTATATCCTTCTTAGATACCCACTTGATGCACACTGTGCCAACCTGTTTCATAAATAATGTCTCTTCAGGAATGGAGGTAAGGACATGCAAGTGCAGAGTCACAAAAAATCACAGAAAACAATAATTTTATAAAAGAAACTGATTCGGTGATTCAGTGATTGAGGTTAGCTCTTTTTAAGGGACCCAACACAATAGGTGTCTCCCCTTCTCACCTGAGGATGGGAATAGATCAATTTTCCGAAACATTGTGTTTTCTAGTTTCTTTTTGGAATAGTGGATGATGGACAAAGTCCCAAAACCCAGTAATTCCAAGATGGGGATGTTCCTGTTAACTAGTTGCCTTCAAAACGTTATAAACTGTCATCATCATCATCATCATCATCCACTGATGGAGCATTGGCTTATGATATAGCCTTCTCAAGTTTTTCTGTCCTCCTGTAGGCACTCCTTTGGTACTGTGCCCTTTCTTCCTCCTTCCTTTTACATATCTTCTTTCACTTCGTCCATCCACTGGTTCCTTGGTCTCCACAGTAGTCATCATTCACAGTCTTCATTTTTGTCTCTTTCGAAGGAAGTTCATAGTTCTCCTTGTATGTCAGATGTCCACATCAGGTGACCACTTGCTGCTTGCTCTCAGTCTTATGTATATAACTTTTGTTGGGCTTGGAGGTTGTGTGACTGTTGCCACACTGTCACATTTTGTTAACTGTTTCACTGTTTATACAACATGGTCTGACCTTATCAAACCATCTTTGGGTATATTTTTATGTGTAGTCTGCTTCACTCTATCAATTCCCTATTAATGGAAGCATTAATTAAAATTTTATTATAATCTTTCTGTTTTAAGATATTCATTAATGTCCTGGTTTGAAATTTATCACTTTTAATATATTTCTTAATATTCTGGAGGAATTTCATTTCATCTATTCTAATGTACTTACATCTGTTGTTGCCTTTGCCACTGTAAATGCCTTTGTGTTTGTATCCATAACACACGGTTCTGTTTTGTTTGTTTGCAGACAAAGGATGTGTCGCTCTATGCATTGACAACATGCAACGAGTTCAAGAGCTGTCCCCCCTCGAGATTGTCGAGATGTTTGTCGCAGTTTTTTGCTTCTTAAAAGACTCGAGTGAAGTTGCACAGACATTACTTGATGATTTCCGCTCCTGCCAGGGGTACCCCTTCCTGTCAGAATTTTTACTGAAGTAAGATAATAACTTTCCTTCCTTTATAATTTGGTACAGATTTTCACTGAGGGAATAAGTTAACTGCAATGTTATTAATGTTGTTGATCAGGTTGGAACAGGATTCATCAGCAGAATCACAAGAGGCCATCAGAAACCTAGTGCTCATGGTGGCTTCCCTCACAATGTGTGGATACAAACAGCTGAGGCCTAGCCAGGCCAGCATGGGCTCGTTGTTCCAGATGCTTGGTTTCGCACTGCCTGAGCCATCAGGACGGGGTGAGTTGTGAAGCTAAGGGCAAATGGAGAGTTGAAAGCACTGCTGAACTGAACCTGTACATAGAGTTAGTAGAGAGTCCGTCGAGTGTAACAATTTGTAGGTCACTTTTTTAATATCACTTCTGCCTTACATGTTTCGGTTTGATACAACCATCATCAGAGGCACTTGCTATAACTATGGAAACATCGTTGTTTATGATGTTCACAGTTATGTTTGTCGTGTAGACGCTGCTACAATATGCTGACGTGTAAAAGCACAAAACTTACTAAGATAGTTGAGTACACTATCAAGTTCTCACTTTTCATCCGAAACTGTTTTAAATTAAAACGCTAAATGTTAAAATATTTAATCTAAAATGCTGAATCCCTCCTTGTTAGTTCATCCCGAAGATGAGAGACATCAGCTTGAAGTTGTATGGCTTATGGTTCGATGTTTCTTATGTGCTGTATGTTATTGTCAGTATCCTTGACTTCACAATATACACAGCAACCTGACCCATAGTTCAAGTTTTGTAAAGTGCTTGGGATATCATGAATGGACTTGTTTCTGCCTTTCACATGTGTGTACTTTAGAACACTGACTTTAGTATTCAGTATTTGTCTCTACAGTGACAGATTGTTTGAATAAAGTGTACATAATATAAAATATTTGGTATATGAAATTGCTACAGCTTAGGTTTGAACTTTTTCAATGTTGCCATTATGTATTAAATGTTGTATAGACTTCAATTTAGACGTTCTTTTGAAGTTGTTATTTGTGTTGTTTTAAATATACTCGTCCATCATTCATCAGAGTTATTGCATGTGAATGAACAGATAAACACAGTGAACTGTTAGGAACTTGTACATTTTTGTGAAAAGTTTGTAGGACCTGATAACTGAAATCACTGGGGGAAGAGTTCATCACCTGGGGTGTCATTTAGGGTCATAACTGCCCTGGTAGAGTCTAGAAATTTCATGCTGTTAATTGTGATATTCTGAGATAGAGGAGTAGCTTTCAGTTCAGAAGAGGAATTTGTCATTGCTTGGGACAGCATTTAGGATTGTGCTGGCCCTGGCTTGAAGGCCAATAATATGATGCATAAACTTCAAGGTCTCTTAGAGCAAACAGTGATGATGTGTAAATACCATATATACCTGAATGGAAGATAAGTTCAAGTCTGAAATCCCCCCACCAAGATACATGATTGTACATGAAATGTGGTTTTGTATTAATTTCACACAGTTATTACAAACATATGAAGGATGATAAATATTTGAAAACATCTTATACAGTAAATCAAATTCATTCTTTTCAAGTGTACAGCCTTCACCATTTCCAACCTTGTCACCATCGCTGGAACGTCACTTTGTGTGGATTAAGGCTTCAGGTTCAAGCTTTGGAGGTTCTTTAGGTAGCCTTGTCATAGCTTCTTTTTCATGACTTTGAAGCATATTTTTGTCTCTCTATCTGTCACGTTTGCCATACTGATTGCATGATATGATGTGAATGTTAGCATTTACGTTTACATTTATTTTCTCTTCATGGATCCAATCACCTCTCCATAGGGCTGGATATAAAACATGTCACACATTACAAGCTTGTACTGCTTCCTAGAAGCATCATAATGTTTAAAGCTTAAAATGTTTGAAAACATTTTTTACGTCGTTTACATTCCCTACAGTACGGACAATACTTTGTGAGATGAGGCACTGACTAATATTATAATGTACTTTACTACATCTACATTATGAGCCTCATACACAATTTTATATACGCATAAGTATGAATATTCCAATTTGTCCATGGGAATGAAACAAAAAATAAATCACAAACCAATGACTGACACATTGATGTAAAAACACCAAAAGAATTTTATTCTTATTTTATATCATACTTCTGTTTTATATAACTTGATGTGTTGTATTTTTTCATGTCAAGTGTTTTTATATATTTTAATAATATTGTATCCAATATTGTTGGTGCTGTGGTTCAGTGGTTTGTATATGTGTGTAAATCATGTGTTTGCCTGATGATGGCTATCAATAGCCGAAACATGTAGCAGGGCCGAAAATGGTCTGATCTTGATATTAGTTGTGTTGTGATGGATATAATAAAGAGGTATATTTTTTACGTCCATTTTCCAGGTAACTCTTCGTTTTATTACTCTGAAAATGGGGAAAAAAATGTATTCTTCCATTTAGGGATAAGTTATATAAACGTAGGTGCAGATTTCATGTAGGGATTCAATAAATTCAGGTGAAACACTGATATAGGGGAAAGAAGAATACATTGTTTATATGAGGCTTCAGGCAGAACCACAAAGATGAATGCAGAATATAAGAAAATCTTAGACTGAGAAACCAGAAATTGGGATTCTATTGTAGTGGACTGTTATGGCCTGAAATGAGTCCATTCAATATGCCTGCTGCATACACGCAGATGCCAACATTTATGAAAATAAATGAGGAACTCATTATGTGCTCTTTGTACAAGTGGCACAAAAATGTGTTTTTTTTTCCCCCCAGGTGCAAGTGTATGCAATATCCAAGCATTCCAAGTCTTGCAATCAGTTTTCTTGAAGTCAAACTCGGCAGCGCTGTGCTGCATCATTCTGGATGCCATTTCAAGCGTGTACCATTCGGACAATGCAAACTACTTCATTCTGGAGGGGCAGCATACACTGTCACAGTTTACCGAGAGGATTCATCTCAAGCCCCAAGAGATACAGGTGCATTTGTGTCAAGTGCCTTATGTGATATTTCAGTATGTAATTGTATGTGGTTGTGGTGTAATTACTTATATTTTTAGCCAACTGCCTTCATTTTATAAGGAAATATAGGCTTATGGTACACCCATGTCCATATGTCCATTATCTGTCCCCACATAATAACTTTAAAATAATTGGATGGACTTTACAGAACTCCACATGGACATGAGTGGCTACCTCTACCTTTGTATGTTTCAATGTTTTGTCTGTAATGATACCAACATGGCTGCCATATGAAGTTGTGAAATTGGAGGAAAACTAGCTCCACTTAGCCCTTATCCCCTGTGCACTGAATACTTTTGATGGCCGACCTGCCACTCTCTGTGGACTTGCATGGGGTAAATATGTTCACACAGTGAAAGACAGTACAGACAGGTACAGAATAATCTCTTATTAAAACATTACAATCAAAACACATTGTTCACTTTGTTGGCTGAGAACAGGACTCCTGGTCCATGGACAGCAATTTTCCACTTATCTTTCAATAAGTGCAAAATATGTCATTTTCTTTTCCTTTAATGCATACACTCGCCTTGAACTGAACACGTCTTACCATTTTTTTTAGGAGTCTTTCAAATTATAAGATTATATAGTATCAAATGATATGTTCAATCTTGACATTATTTGAAGGCACTGAGGAAAACCACGAAGAACCTCATTATCAGGATTTCTGTTCTTTGAGCCGAGATTTGAACCCAGTTCCTCTTGACTATGAATGCTGGCTGAACACTGGACAACCTTCTCATTTGTAAGCAGATGTGCATTAATGCATGAGTTAATTATTCTCTTTTTGCACACAGTTGTTTTGTCAGTGCTGTCACATCATATGCTTATGTTGTCATAATAGCTGGTGGCCATTTTGTGATGATGAGGCTTTCCTCTCTGTGAAAACTGGCCACCGTCTTTCAGTCACATGCTCTCAGGACAGACACACCCAACTGAAGACAGAATTATCTTTATTGAGACAAACATTCTTTTGTGTTTACTTTTAATGTTACAGTTTAATAATTACATCTTTAATTAATATAGTGAAGAATAAATTTTACTTAAGTTCAGTTTTATGTCATTGTGGACTGTTTATGCTGATTAGTCTGAAGTTGATGTATTTTATAAACTTCAAGGATGAAATATGTAGCTGGAGTTTGATTCCTGTGAAGACACTGAAATGTTTCTCTTCACCAATGTGTCCACACCATTTCTGGGGCACAGTCTCTTGCCTAGTGTGTTCCAGAGCTCCCTCTTTTGGTGTAAAGGGAGCAGAGCATGATGCTCACCTGGGGTGCTTGGTCATAGGGGGACACCAGTATTTAGAATTACAGTTTGGAGTAGGTTCTAATGCTTTGCTCTTTTGTCTCATACAGGGGAAATTCTTCCAACTGCTGGAATTCATTGTGTTCCAGCTAAACTTTGTTCCTTGCAAAGAACTCATCTCGTTGTCAATTCTGCTCAAAGGTCAGACGTCTGTCAGCTGCAGTATCACATGCATGCAAAGTCTGCTGAACATTCTGAGGTAAAAGAAAGAGATTAGATCATATTGCAACCTGGACATGTTTGTTGCTGTCATTTTCCATTGAAATTTTGGGAAAATTTAAAACAGCTCATTTGAGATCTGTTCTGTGTGTAAATTATTATTTATGCTTGACACTACAAAATTAAGATTTATTATTAGGTTTTTGGGCTGCAGAACTTTTCATGCTAGCCCTGAAGTAGGGTCCATGTAACATGTGTTGAGTTAAACTGCATGCAGCGGGAAACAGGGCACAGCCTGTATCTTCGTCAGCTCTATACATTGGTGATATCTGAATGGAGTGGCTGAGAAGAACAAGATCGCTCAGTCAGGATACCAAATCCTGGCTAAGATTTGAAGTGGGAGTGAGCGTAATCATAATGCTTAAATATTAAACTCAAAGTTATGCATATTTTTACTGTTGTTTATGCTAAAGAGTTCCTGATGTCCTTGTTCTCCTCGATTAAGTGTATATTGTATGTGAGTATTTTCTATAGTATAAAGGAGGTGTTCTGTGTTTGGGTCCTTGTGAACACCATAATGAAACTTCAGGTTCCATAATGGCATATAATCTCTTGATCAGCTGAGTAACTATTAGCTTTACAGGGAGAACTGTACTTCATTCAGTTGGTTAGATATTGTCCAGATTTTGATCAAATCTAACGCTTTTGCACAATATGCTTACAGCTGCAAGGAACATCAGTATAATTTATTTGAAGCTGGACATACAACTTTAAATTAGCTGTTTAATATTGTGTCAAAGGTTACTATTAATTTATTTTAGTGAACTCTAAAACTCCATCTTAGTTACTAACTGTGCTCTATGCCCCTCAACCATCTACTGTTTTTGCCATCTAATGCAGGGATATTGAAGGTAACGCAGGTTTACACAAAACACACAGACGCAGAAAAATAACAGCACTCTGCTTGATTATACATGGAAAGTAAATGTTGCTGGATCTAGAAATTGTAACATTGTGTCATGACAACCAGATGTGACTGTAATATTTTCTGTAACTTTTATATTCAGAAAGTGATTACAATTTTAGAAGATGGGGGTTTTGGTTTGGAACCAAATTTGTGTTGGTCTGTGTTCAGGATGTAAATGTAACATTAATCACAATTTAAAATTAAGATAATCTGCAAATTCAGAAAGATTTGTATAAGAGATTTGTTTTTCCTGTCAAACACAACAGATATACCAAACAACTCACTCACATTTCACCATACATAACCGAGTTTACTGCTCGTACAGTGTCGCAACACGTTTCAACTCACGGAACCATTATCAGGCAATACATGAACAAATCTTATACTACTGAAGTATGTCTCTTATATGGATCCATATATTGTACTTATTACTGTGTGTTACAATAAACTGAAAGATATGGTGTGCTCCTGTCCCTTTCCTTAATCACTTTTATATGCACAGATTAAGTGGTTGTCATTTTATTGTAACACACAGTGATAAGTACAATACGAAGGGGGACCCAAAAATAACCGGAAACGACCTGTTGCACGCGCATGCTTTGTAGTTACGAGTTGTGGTGCTAGGTGGTGTTAGCTGGGGTATCACGCGACTGTTAGTGAGCTGGCGTCAGTCTGAGTTAAGTGGTTTGTCTGTGGTGCTCTGTTGTGTGCGTTCCTCTTTCAACCCTTTGGCGATTAGTGAGATGGCCGACCAGAAGGAACAAAGAGTGTGCGTGAAATTTTGCTTTCTGTTAGGGAAAACTGCACTTCACTCTTCAAGTCGCGGCAAACATTCACGCGGTTTTCTCTTTGGTCATCTCCGAGCAAGCGAGGAACAAATTTTGCAGACACCCGTCTCATGTGCAAACCTTCAGTTAAAATTCGCTGGACCGTGCTCCATGAGATGTTCGTTTCCTCAGAAAGTTGGTCAGTGGTCTTTCGACGATCTTCATCAATTGCACGCACACTCTTTGTTCCTTCTGGTCGGCCATCTCACTAATCGCCAAAGGGTTGAAACAGGAACGCACACAACAGAGCACCACAGACAAACCACTTAACTCAGACTGACGCCAGCTCACTAACAGTCGCGGGAGACCCCCAGCTAACACCACCTAGCAGCACAACTCGTAACTACAAAGCATGTGCGCGCAACAGGTCGTTTCCTGTTATTTTTGGGTCCCCCCTCATATATGTATACATATAAGAGACACATAATTCAGCAATATAAGGTTCGTTAATGGATCGCCTGATGATGGCTCCAGGAGCCGAAATGTGTTGTGACATTAAACGACCAATAAACTCCCTTATGTACAGTGAAATGTGCATGAGTTGTTTGGTATATTTGTTGTGTTTGACAGGAAAAACAAAACTCATATATAGTACTAACACCAGCAGGATGCTTCCCAAATTGTATAAGGTTTGCCATTACTTTTACTACTAAAATTAACTTATTTATTATATTGAACATGTTTATCAGGATTTTATACAAATGTGCATTCTATTGGATGACAACTGTAATCCTTAGTTGTGACTGTAACAAGGACGAGCTCCCCGCATGAGAATGTACTCTCGACAGGATTTATGGAAGGTGAATAAATGAAATGAAATGAAATGCTCACCATTAATGTGTGACCCCCATTCATTTTCGTGTTACCCGTTTTCTGTAGATGAAGGCATGGAAATGTTCACCGTTGATAGACACTGTGTTTTGTTGGTTTTAGACACAACGCCATTTTCAAGGATGTATACCGGGAAGTCGGTATTTTAGAAGTGTTTGTTACGTGTCTGCATCGATATGCAGCACTGTTAAAGGAGAAGAAACAAGCTCAAGATCAAGGAAAGGGTAAGTATGAACTTTGCTATTAAGTTTAATTTTCCACACTCCATTATTTCTGAATCTGTACTATGTTTATGTCCTTTTCAGTAAACAGCAGTGTTTGTGCTATGTATGTCAATACTGGTTTGCAATATATCTTGTATATCTATTTATTTACGAAGGGGGACCCAGGCGTCCTTCGACAGGAAGAAATGACGAAAACATTGCCAAAATCAAACGTGCAATTGATGAAGATCGTCAAAAGACCATTGACCAACTTTCTGAGGAAACGAACATCTCATGGAGCGCGGTCCAGCGAATTTTAACTGAAGGTTTGCACATGAGATGGGTGTCTGCAAACTTTGTTCCTCGCTTGCTCGGAGACGACCAAAGAGAAAACCGCATGAATGTTTGCCGCGACTTGAAGAGTGAAGTGCAGAACGATCCAGAATTTCTTAAAAGAATTGTGACTGGTGATGAGTCTTGGTGCTACGGGTACGATCCAGAATCAAAGCAATCATCAAGCCAGTGGAAAACTCCAACTTCACCATGACCGAAGAAAGCACGTCAAGTGCGATCCAATGTGAAAACAATGTTGATTTGTTTTTTTGATGTGAATGGCATTGTCCACAAAGAGTTCGTTCCGCCAGGACAAACAGTGAACCAACATTTTTACCTGGATGAGTTACGAAGATTACGAGAGAGTGTGCGACGAAAACGGCCCGAAATGTGGAGAAATGGGAACTGGTTGCTTCAACACGACAATGCTCCAGCCCACACAGCTTTGACGGTCCGACAGTTTTTGACAAGCAACAACATGGTGATTGTGCCTCATCCACCTTACTCACCCGACCTGGCTCCGTCGGACTTTTTTTTGTTTCCACGGATGAAGAGAAGTCTGAAAGGAAAGAGATTCCGTGATGTGGATGAAGTTAAAGAAAACACGCCAATCGCCAATCGCTAATCTCACTGATCGCCAAAGGGTTGAAACAGGAACGGACACAACAGAGCACCACAGACAAACCACTTAACTCAGACTGATGCCAGCTCACTAACAGTCGTGGGAGACCCCCAGCTAACACCACCTAGCAGCACAGTTCGTAACTACAAAGCATGAGCACGCAACAGGTCGGTTCCGGTTATTTTTGGGTCCCCCCTCGTATTTAGTTTTATATTTTATTGGTCATGGCTTTAAATTGAACTTCCAGCCATGTGATGCATCTATTGATTTAATGTGTCATGTTTCCTTTTTTATTAATTTCACTTCTAAAATAAACACATCTGTACACATTCCAAGTGATATAAAGCATATTGCAACTGAAAGAGGCATGCATTTTCTTACCTGACCATCTTTGGCAGTTAATAAAAAATAATTACTGTTTTATGGCCAATTGTCTCATTAGAATATTACAAGCTTAAGTAGAAAGTGAGGATTAAGTTTTGTAATGGAAGGAAGAACTTCAGAATGTATCTTTGTCCTTCATTGTCATCTCTGCTTGCTGTTACAGAATATGAGATTCCCTCAATGAGCGAGATGCTAGGCATGTTGGTCATGGAAGCCCTCACACTGTTGCTCAGTGGGAATGCCAGCAATGCAAATGTGTTCAGGGAGTGTGGTGGAGCACGATGTGCCCACAACCTTGTACCCTACCCAGAATGTCGGCAACAAGTCTTAGGTGAGAACTGAACTTTTGATATTAGGTAGTTCAAATTGTTACTTAAGTCAGCTAAAGGTGGTTAGATTCTTAGGAAAACAGGATGTGAGGTGAGTGGAACCAACCAAGAATTGTGTCCAATAATCAGTCAGATCAACTCCACATCCTGCCAGTAGTGGAAAGCTCCTTCAAGCGTATTTTTTTTTAAGCAGAAGGAGATTGAAATTTGAAAATGCTTAGCTCTGAAAGATCTTCACCAAATACCATGACTCCTGTTATGCCCTAGTGGGCTTGAGTCATAAGACTCTGAGCCCCCTGGCTGGCAATACAGACTCCTTCATGAAGAACTCAGAACATGTCATGAAATTAATACAGAAGATCAAACTTCAAAACGAAGACTGCCTTTGAAGGTTTGATATTGTCAGTCTGTTCACCAGCATACCAGTGGAAGAAGTTGTACAGATCTCAGCTCGATACGGATCCTTCTTTCCCAGAATGCTCATTTTTACAAGTTGAAGACAATGGAATTACTGGACATCTGTTTAACAACTACACACTTCCAGTTTGAGGATAGATTCCTATCAGCGAAAAAACGGTATGGGAGTGGAAAACTCCCTATCACCGATGGTCAGTAATATGTTTATGGAACACTGAGGAAATAGAGTCAGTTGCAGCAGGCCACAGACCCACTAAATGTCTCACATACATTGGCAACGCTCCTGTGGTTTGGCCACATGGACCAGCAACATTGCACCAATTTGTTCACCACCTCAGCCTTAGACCTATCATCAAACTCTGAAAGGGACTTGAAGCCGATGATACTGTCCCATTCTTATACTTATTGTCCCTGTTATTGTAACCAAGCAAGAGTGATATAATACGCTGTGAAGTAATGCTGAATACCTGTAAACTGTGTAATTAGGTATAAACATGACAATTCAATGTCCAGGAAATCCAATTACAAATTCGCATCCTGTTTATGGTCACTATCATGTGACAGTATTCCTTCCTGAACACCGCAAAGACATTAAATAGAACAAGAAAATAAATCCTCAGTATAAATCATAAGTCTGTGTTATGTTTGAGGCTGAGGAATATCTGAATATATATGATGAGGTGTGTGTGATATCTGAAGTTTTGTGCGTCTTACGCCATCCCCTGCTTTAGCAGTTTTCAACATAGGCGGCAGTTCAAAATTTTGTTATTCGAAGAATAAAGATGTAATGTCTAGGAGATAAAGGTTTGAAAGCGAAAGCAAAAGAAAAAAAGGGGTGAAGATATTGTGACATGTTGCGCAACGGAGGACCCCTACCTCCCCAGCGGCACGTGGCGGTAACGTAGCGCTCTCGTAATAGGCGAGTCATCGCCCCGCCACTCTCCCCACGGTGACGTAACGCGCAACGAGCGGTGACGTGCCGAGCAGAGCCGAAGTGAGACGAGTCCCAGCGCACTGGTCACTATGCAACGCGGATAAACAGTGGTTGCGATAGATGACGGTAGCGACAGTGATGCCTACCGCGTGGCTCTTTTCTCGTTGCCCTGCTGAGGGTTTATAAGGGAGGTACACAGCCGCCGACGACAGTTCTCAGTTCGCAAGTTACGAGTTACAGACGCGTATGCGAGAATCAGTGATAGTCCGTGATAACCGGTTATATTTGGAGTGTGTAATTCAGCGAGACTTGTATAGCTCCCGCGCTATTAGTACGTGAAGACTCTTGAAGATAGTGTTAAGAGATTTTATTGTAAGGTTTGTAAAGTGTGGAAACCCGTAACATTGTTATCATTAATTGTAGCCGATACTTGTAGATTGTTAAATAAACCAATTAACCATCTCTATGGCGTCTTCAGTAACAAAACATGTTACAATATAAACGAAACGATTCCGTTACATTTCAATGAGCTTTTTCAGTAATTTTCAATTAATTTGATGCAGGAATTGTGCGAGAACTCGTGCTGAGTACTGGTGGAGATGATGACATGGGCACGCTGCTTGGAATGATGCATTCAGCACCACCTTCTGCGCTACAACTCAAAGCACACATTCTCAAGGTAACTAGAACTGGAGTGAAAAACTCGGCTGCTAATTCCTCGTGGGGTTAATGATGTTACTCTCAGTACCCAGAGGTAGACATTATGTTCGCAGTTATACATTTAAATTGAATGGAAAACATCATCTTCTAGTCTGTGCTGATGATGTCAATTTATAGGGCAAAAATATAAATACCATAATGAACAATATATGATGGGAAGGCTTGTATGCTCTGATTACTTGGATATCTATGCTAGTAGGAATATGAGGGCCTGATAGGTTCACCCAACCAAAACAGGTGGGGGTGGGACAAATGAAAGTGTGTACAAAAAATGATTTGGCCCTGAAGCAGAAGAAAATTTGGAAGGATCAGAGTGAGATAACTGAAAGATGCAAAGAGTGATTTACAGCAGCTGAAAATGAAGAGGTGGATGTAGAAGGTAAATAAAGAACATGTCATATTATTTATTTGATTCTTAACAGATATTTTTAATCAGTAAATGTCATATTATTTAATGTTGTGTTTTATAGAAATGGAATCTCCAACATTAATTGATCATTGCAGATATTTGAATTTGGTCTTCTGTCTGATTTTTCATCTTGCAGTGGCCTCAGTGTACAGTTATTGCAACTAAAAATCTGTTGTTGAGAGTATGGATACTACCGTATTTACGCATGTATAGGCCGCACATTTTTTGCCAAAAATTCAAGAGGAAAACTGGGGTGCGGCTTATATTCGAAATATTCGAAATCACACTTCATTTAAAAAAAATTATATTCATAATTAGTAATATAGGGTGTTCAAAGATCGAGGAAACCGGGGCGGCAGCGTAGAGTGGATGGAACATGTCAATTTTTTTACATTTTTTCAAGGGCATCTTTCGTTCGTATCCATCTTCGCACATTTTTTTCGTCAACGTCGAATTTTCTCCCTGCTGCTCGATTTCCGTGTTCTTGTGCATAACGCACCACTTGANTCCTGAAATAATATTCCAAGAAAATTATTTTTTCTATAATTTCTGTCTGAAAATTGTGCTGCGGCCTATACACACACGCAGCCTATACATGCGTAAATACGGTACTTTGTATGAAGCCATGAAGTCTGTTCTTGACAGAGCTGTTGCGATTAAGATATTATGCGTATAGATTTAAATTATTTCTCGTTGTACTTTGTTAAGTATTAAATATACATATTTATATATAAAGTATAGGTGTTAATAAGATCTACCCAGTACCAGTTTCTAGTGTGATATCCTGTTCTTGAGCATTTTTACACAGATTTTATTGGACCAAAATGAAATTCGCCCAACAATTTTTAATGCAGACTGTCAGTATTGAATTTCACTCGAATTCTGGAGTAGCTGTGAAGGTAATGTACAAATGAATGGAAGACCAGACCGGTGAACAGACGTGACCTTCCAATTTAATGTATGTCTTGTTGTCCACATTTCCAAACTGTTTAAATATGATATTATGCATCATAAATATATAAAGTGTAGTGTAGAATGAAGACTGTTGAATTTTATTGTTTTTGCTGCAGTCATTGTTGATGTGTCTGCGTGAGAGCCACAGGACACGAACAGTGTTTCGGAAGGTTGGTGGTTTTGTTTATGTGATGAGTGTCTTGGTGTCAATGGAAGGATGCCTCTGTGGAGAACCTGCGCCCCCCTGGGATGAGATTCCAGTGTCCCAAGTGCTTCATCTTCTCCACATGGTGTTCAACACAGTGACAGTTGCCATGAGATTCGAACCAGCAAATGCTAAGTTCTTCCATCTGGAGGTGAGTGTTGCATCACTCATAAAGTGAAAACACATAGAGTAGAATTCCAAGTTAAAGTCTGCTTCATCTGTTGTTCAGTTTCTGTAACCTGATTCAAGTTGTCTTAGTGTTAAGCGTTCTTTATGTGTAGCTTTCCTCTGGTAAACTTAGATGCCTGTAGGATAATTGACTCCATGGATTAAATTCCTTTTAAACATCTGGTAATCACCTAGCTATTCAAGAAATTCTGCTTCTTTTTTGAAACTTAACCCTTCAGCAACTGCCGTCAATTAAATATACTTCAACTGCCATGGGAATTTCAAAATGGGACAAAAAATGTATGAAACGATAGCCTGCAGTTTCCTTTTTACTTTCATACCAAAAGAATTACTATACATGAAAAACAACATTTTGGAAAGAAACTCCAGTTCCTCTATCTTATGTAGGGGTGGGGGATGATCCTGCTTGCTTGGGCACATCAGAAGGTGCCAGTCTTGATCACTTGATTGTCCAGTGATTGAGACCAGCTCCNCCCCCCCCCCCACATCTGGTAATGGAAATTGATCCAGTTTCTGAAATGTTACATATTTTAAATCCACTGTAGACAGTCGACATCTGTGTGGTGAATAGATCATGTAGAGAATCGCCTTTTCAGTCTTCTTCATGTGATTCATGTTCTGTTGCTAGATCTGCCTGACAAGTCTGTGTGACACATTGCGGCTCCTTGGCTGCTTTTCAAACGAGCAGTATTTGGACGAGTGTGACGAGATAACCGCTGCACGGGAGGAGAACACATTCCATAACCTCTTCACTGGTAGCATCTTGGAACCAAGGTTAGACAGAAATTTTAATCTTTTAATTTATTGGGGTGGTTGTTTATTACTTGGTGATCAGCCGTCATGCCATACAACAGACTTCTGTAGATTTGAAAGGATTCTGACGATGGTGTACTGTACTTCTTTTGGCTTATTTTGGACTTCATCCATTGTCTAGTATGTAAAAGACAAAAGACCACGATGTTTCGAAGACTGGATCTGTCTTCGTCTTCAGGTGGGTAGGGAAGGATAGACCTACTCAGTTGGGCCTGTTAGAAAGAGCTAGTCTCAATCACTGGACTGCAGTGCTGCACATCCCAATATCTCTTGCCAAGTGAGGCTGCGTAGTGGTGCTGCAGTTTTGTGCGTTAGTTTGACGTTTGATAGATGTGCAGCGAGATCAACTTACAGCATGGTGGTCATGCACTTGAGTATCTTTAGCATGTTCACGTACGTTACTGTCGAGCTTCTTGCAAAACTGGTAATTTTATACTTACAAAAATCAACACAGATATAATAAATTAAATTGAACTTGTTAAATCTGTCACAAAATATAATTTATTGTGGAAATACAGAATATGAGAAAAATACTTGTTATAATTTTGCTAATGCAATTATACAGTGCGTACAATCAAGTGCGCGCCGCGGCTGCAATTTGCCGTGAGTCATACCACCGCAGAATGGATGCAGTCGCGGGGAGTGTTGCAACTCCTCCCCGCGACTGCATCCGTTCTGCGGTGGTATGACTCACGGCAAATTGCAGCCGCGGCGCGCACTTGATTGTACGCACTGTAGTTATTTGTCAGCAAATACTGGAAGTGTAAGCAAGAGAAGCCAAAGTGACTGGTCACCATGTAAAGCTCTGTCAAGCAGTGAGACACAGCAATGGGTAGTATAAACATATTTGTTGAAATTTTGTGTTGCAGCATTCCTAGCCACATTCCAGTGGAGCTGTCCTATGCTTGCATAGTGCTTCGTCTTCTATATGATGTTGCATTGGATGCGTATGACAAGTCAAACCATACGACGGTTGTGTCTTTCAAGTCTCCTACTCACAGACGACATCAATCTGAGGTGAGGCCTGTGTGAAAATTAAGCATTAAAAATGGTGACTTGAGTCCTTTATCCTTCTGCTTCATGCTATAGGTCCATTGTCTTCTGCAGCTCCTTGTTTCTTGCTTGGTGTTCAGTCACAAGTGTGTGGATTTTTTCTTTTGCAAATCCTGTTAGCAAAAACTACATTGTGTTGCATAATATTCTTAGATATTAGTATTGTGACGTGGATGACGCAACGCTCGTTAAACACCCCCTCCCCTGTGGTGACGTAATGGGAAACCGCGGTTGCTATGCAGCAATAAACAACTCTCAGCAGTGTTGCCCAACAACGCCTTTGTAAACACGGCGTCATGCAACAGGGAAGCCCGTGCAGCAACTGTTTGCTAGGCAATCGGTAAACACGACGTCACACAACAGTGAAAGCTATCACGTAACTGTTTTCTGTGCCAAGGCTAAATAAGGAGCAGCGAACACTATTCAGTAGTGAGTGATTAGTTAGTGAGTAGTGAGTATTGAGCCAGGTACTAGAGAAAGAGTAACCAGTTAATTGCAGTCTAGTATTTGTGATACTGCCGATGGCAGTAATTGTGAGCTTGTAAATTGTGTGATTGTAAGAGCGAGTGGAATAAATTCACTGTATTCAATACGGTGTGAAGTTATTTGTTGCGTGACAGTATATATCCGACTAGGTGACCAGCATACTTTAATTAAGCAACATATATATACATGATTTCCTTTTTTCTAAGTTGATTCATTTTAGGATGAAAACATGTGCCCAATATAGACAGGTTTGAATGAATTAGATTTGTGTTTCTGCTTACTGTTATATGGCGTACACATGAGGAAGAAGCATGTGAAGTGGTACAGTTAAGGTTCTGAAGGATTAAAATGTGGAGTAGGTGATTTTTTTATTCATATTCACATCTTATAAATACTGTAAACATACTAAAATATTTTACTCTGGTTAAAAAATGGATGAATCTAGAACAGCTGCTAAGCCATAGCTTGAGGATTTTCCACAGAGACACTTAATGCATAAAATAAACATCGCCATGTAATTAATTGTTTACTCTCCAGATATATATCTTTTTCGACTTATAGATTTGATGATACAGGTCTGTTCAGTAATAGACTTTAAAGGATTCTGACGATGGTGTATGCTGTACAGAACTATAAGGTTTATTTTGGACTCTACCCATCATCTGGTATATATAAGACAAAAACCACAACGTGTCAGAGACTGGATCTGTCTCCATCCTCAGGTGGATGGGGCAAGATAGACCTACTCAGTTGGGCCCATTAGAAAGAGCTAGTCTCAATCACTGGAGGTCCAGTGAGGTCTCCAAAATGTTGTTTTTGTCTTATATATACCAGATGATGGGTAGAGTCCAAAATAAACCTTATAGTTCTGTAAAGTCTGTTCAATGTTCACAAGGCCAAAAATTTATCTTTCCAACTTCTTCTGAGTCTCTCTGTTTTCTCTCTGTCTTTTGGGATTATAGAAGTATTATAATTTTGGTAGTGTGGCTTCTTTTAGCAATCAATCACAGTGGCCATGTGGTCTAAGGCATGAACTGTCTTCGATCACTTGAATGCTGGGATCGTGGGTTTGAATCCCACTCAAGGCATGGATGTCTGTGTGTGCGTTTACTCTGCGTTTGTGTTGTCCTGTGTGTAGGTAGTGGCTTTGCAACAGGCTGATCCCCTGTCAAAGAAGTGCTACCAACTGTGAAAAAAAGATTATAAAACTGAATGGGAGCCCAGGGCTCAACAAAGGGCTGTAGAGCCATTGATGAATGAAATGAATGCATGGAAGAATGGGTAGCTTGCATCCTAGATATATATTTCCAGTTTAATTGACATTTGTTTACTTTTTATAACATATTCTCAGTTTCTGGTAGAAAGCTGGGACATGGGACATGCAGGGGACGCAACTGGGAGGGAGGCTTATTTGAAAGCATTGAGGAGTCTACCCACCATCAAGACAAGAAAACTTGTAATACCTGAAATGTTAAGAAGGAAATCAAGACACATGTCTCAGTATAATACTTATTAAAAAGGAGAATTTATTTTTCTGCACATGATATCACTCAGTCACTTCTTTAACTAATTGGACTTTCTGTTGTTGTCATTTTCATCTCATGTGTCCCTGTCATTTTCCTGTTGTTTCCATACCTGCAGGTTGTGTCTGTGTGGTAGTCACTTCCACTCGTGCCTCACTTCCCATAAAAATTCCCTTTCAGCTTTACAGTATTTCTTCCTTATATTCTTAATGTTCTCACTTGATCCAGTTCTCTTTACCTTGATCTACCATAACGTAATTATTCCCATAATGTAATCATTGTGATTGTACATAGAGCCACAAGCTGCTGGACTCACCTGGAGGGGGTAAACGAGCAGCAGTCAACTCCCTGAATCTGACTCCACCTGCACCTGACCCCATTATTGTTCATCCTGGTGTGGTTGTGGCCATGCTGCACCTTTTACCATCTATATGTCACGTCCAGGAAACACAGGTAACACAAATTATGGACAAGTCAAAATTCCAATGAAATGGAGATTTTAATGTATAGAGTAGTAACAGCACTGCAGTACAGAACCCTCATAGATAGCCTGATGTTTCTGGTGTGTCTCGGAAACTGCTGATGTTAGGATGGAGAGTTTTTGCTTGACAAAAGAACATTCATTAATCTATTCTCCCATGGCGTGGATTCAATTCCCGATGAGGTCATTGGATTCTTTATTTGACCAAATCCTTCCAGCTGCACTGTGGGCCTTCTGGTCAACTCAGCCTCTAACAGAAATGGGTTCCAGGAATATTCCTGGTGCTAAAGGGTGGCCAGCGCATAAGGCTGACAACCTCACCGCCATTTTTGAGCTGATTGTGTAGGAAATGTGGGAGCCTCAGCATCTAACAAACCAATGGGCCTGTTACATGGATAGCTTTACCTTATAAATGATAGTTTTGGGGAACATAATGTGGGATATTTCATTGAACACACAGGGCTTTTCTCCCATAATATTGCCTGCACAAAGTATGATGTGACTTATTCCTGGACTGGTTCGACAATAGTTACGGTTAGAAAGTATCCTCAGATACTATCACATAGACCTTAATGTCACATTACTTTAGCAAAAGTGTGCAAGTAGCATAGGATTCATAGCCAGATGAGTATCGATGTGAAAACTTAATAGACAGGCACACTGAGTCGCTTGCGCATTTGCAGGTATCCTTAACTCTTCAGATGCATGCTTCCGAGGTACTGAAATCACTTGTTCGTTCAGAACGCAACCAGCAAGTGATGTGTGAGGCAGGGTTGCCTGGACAGCTTCTGACCGTTGGACGGTTGGCCCTTGAAGATGAAACCCACCCTCTTCATCCACCATTGCAGTACATGTTGGAGCGACTAGCAGCACAGACGCTGGAACCCAGGGACCTGAGGCAAGTAGAATGTTTATACATCTTATGTTTCACTTATATTCATTCTTCTTGGCAGCATCAATGTAGAGTGAAGGTTTCTGGTCCACTTGCAGCATCTGCCTTTTGTATCCTGCAGAAGTCATGAACTGACTGAAGATATCACTCACAGAAATTTCTGGATCATGTGGCTGCAAAGTGTGCATAACTGAATTTGTAAGACTGTAGTGCCAGTAATTTTGTTGCAGTTGTTGTATGATTGGATATGTATAAGTTTACAGTAGAACATCTAGTAAATGTTTTGTGAAGTGGACGTTCATTAGGAAGTGTCAGAGAGAAACCAGAAGAAAATTCCTGAAATTCAAATTCTTCACAGAAACACTATTCAGAATCATATGAATAAAGTAAGAACAGATATGTTAAAAGAAACCAGAATGTCAGCTGTGAATATTAACATGAAAAAACTGGATGATCTTAGAGCATGGCATAAATATTTGCTAATAAATCTCTTAAATGCCTTGCATAAGTAACTGTGAAAATAGTGATAAATTATTTAAAATACAACCCTACAAAACCACAGCTCTTCATCCTTTGCAGCCATGTCATCCAGTAATTTCTGTAATGTAACTTCACTCAGTACACAATGATGAACTTGATCAAAAGTTTTTGTTTCTCCAGATGGAGCTTTATGTTATTTTAATCACATGAACACTGTGTGATGGTGAAAGTTCATGTTTGGTTTACCCCAAATGAGAGGATGACAGTGAACCCTGTGTAATGCAGATACAATTAATTCTGAGAAGGATGTAAGACAAGTATCTGCAAGTTGGCCAGTAGCCATCACTTCTGGATGTTTGTTGCATTCCATTATCACTGCATCTGAGCATGCAGGAAATGCAGTAACTAACACAGTGATCATGCATAGCAGAAATGCCCATTCCATGGCATAATCACCAGATATCTTCCCTGTACAGGGGTATAAGACACTGCATTTCATATGTTTTGTGTGAGAAAGGTGTTTTTCAATATGAGAACTTGACAGACTTTTAATTAGTTTGATGGATGGGATCTTCAGAATAATGTGGGTTTAGTATGAAAACCCAACACTTAGATCTTATTGATTAGTGAATCCTGAAGCCTTTGTACATCAGTTTTGTGTTGGCCACATACCCTTCAGTTCATGTACGGCAACCCATAATGTTTAGGGACTGTCTTCCTGCTAACAGATGTCTTTTCCGCACTTGGTAGTTGTTTAGTTAGTTAAGAAATTCTCTGTTGTAATGGAACTTGGTGTCTTTTCATAATGATGACAGTCGTTGTTGTCGTCATGGTTGTCATCATCATCAGTGGCAGCAGCAGCATGCCATAGCCACTGCTGCCACCACTGCTGAACCTCTGCCAGGACACAGACCATCGTGGCTCAGATTTTGTGGTTTTTCTCAGGCCCTCCAAGCAAATCCTTTCCAATTTGTCAGTGTTCCTAGCGTTCAATGCTGTATAGTCTCGATGCAGAAATGATCATTAAGGAAGAAGGGATCTATGGAGTGCTGTGTATTGAAAAGCTTATCTGTATAGTTCAACTTTACTTTGGTTTACTTCAGTTGTTGCAACATTCTGTTTAAGTCTGAACCTTCCTTCACAGGGATTTCCTTCGCCTGGGTGACCCACTGTGCTGCATTCCAATGGACTCGATTGAAACAAGACCTCCCCATCGCAAACCTGGTGGACCAGTGCCACTCACTCGAGTAAAGACGTTAGTGTCTATGACTACTCCTAGGGATTTCCGAGCAACACACGGAAGTGCCACCTTGCCACCTTTTGTTGAGTTTGATATGTCAGCTGAAGGATTTGGCTGTCTTTACCTCCCCAGTGTTGCTCCACAGAGCCCCGCAGGTCCAAGTGTTGTGGCTGTTGGAAATATTGGTGCTACTGACAATAATGTTGTTGGTGGAATTGGCTCAGGTTTGTGGCTTTCTTACTAATCAGGGAAAAGATTAGGTGTCTGTTATTTTGGAAGCCTTGACTTAAGTCAGGGGGGTGAGAGCAGTACAAGGAAGCGCAGAACACATTATATTCTCATTAATGTAACCAGAAATCTGGGCTGACAGTAAGGTATTTAGCTTAGCGGCCTCCGTAGTCTAGAGGTAACGTTCCCACCTCATGACTCGTGGTACGCGGGTTCAAACACGGTGGAGGTCGTGGAATTTTGAAGGGCGGAAAAATTCGGGGAACAAGTCTTCCGGGAGGGACTTTAAGCCGTGGGTCCCGTGTCGTAGCTTTACGGCACATAAAAGAACCTCATATCTCCAAAGGAGATCACTGAGCCAAATTCAAGGACATTTCCCGCCCAACAGTAGTCTCTAACGCCTCTGATAGATGGGGGAAGCATTATAGATACCGCTAAGCCAGTAGAGGCCGAACTCGCTGGCTTGGTCGGGACTGATGGTAAGCACCAGTATCGGTAGGGTATAGAGACTGGTAGAATATCATAGAGGGAAGCACGAGGTCTAAGTGCATGGGGAAACCCACCCTCTCCAATAACTAACTAACTAAGGTATTTAGCTTTCTTTTATCAGTCTTTATTGACCTTGCATCACACATCTGTGATGGTGCATGTGTGTGGTCCAGCAACGTAGCATCTTTTAAATGCATGTGTCCTTACCTCCTAGATAAAATTCAGCTGAGATTGCTCATATTATTGGAAGATTTAAATTACTTTTTTTTTCAAACCGTAAAGCCTAATATGATCAAATTGTTATTCATTCATTAACCTCAAAATTATTTGCTTTCACAGATTATATGCAGATAGGTTGGGGGCCATGTGCAGTCATTGATCATGGTTTTACAACACCCTGAAGTACAGTGACAAAGAAATCCTTATCTTTTAGACAACATTAGAATGAAATTAATTTTTTGTATATCCATGTTCTACCCTTATGACACAATACGCTATGTGTATTCTTCTCTCATTGTAATTTATTGCAGGAGACAGAATGTTTCCTCCGCAGACAGGACTCAGCTACTGTACCTGGATATGTGTGGACAAGTTCTCAGATCCTCGGACTGACCCCCACTGTGTACGATTGTTAACTCTGGTCAGAAATCTACATGGTGGGAGTGATGATCACCTGGTTTGCTTAGCTGTGGTTATGTCAGCACGGGATAAGGCCATCATTGTTACAACCCAGGAAACAGTTATGCCACATAGTGAGTTGTTTTATGGTCTGATTGATAGCTGACAGTATATCTTTAAATAATGCCTTATTACATATTTATATTTCCTGGATACCAGCTGTGAATTGTAAATACATCAAAACCGCTCACAGAACGATGGTTCCTTAAGAATAGATTTTTTTTTTTGAGTCTGAAATGTAAAATCGGTTTTCCAAAAGAAAGAAGGGGCACTAGTTAAGACAACACCACATGATTCCCAAGGGAACAGCACACAAACAAGGGGCATATTGCAGATCACAGACGTAGCTGCTGAAAGAGACTGTCTGGAATTCATGCATCACATAGCTTTAAACAAGTGGGCAATGGCCCTTATAAGGTGGATAGGATTTTACGAAAGATTTTAATTTAAGTAGACTGCAACGCGCAATTTTAAGCGCGCATCAAGACAGTGTAACAGTTTGGACGCATCGAAATACCTGAGGATGGCCATCTGTGGCCGAAACATGTTGTGTTGCTGTTAAATGGTGAATGTTTTAATGATTGTTGCATTATTGGCAGACTGAATACATAGACGTTTAATAAAGATGTGCAACAGAATGCTGAAATACAGAATTAGAAAAAAGAAGTTTAATGTTCAGTCTTTCAGTTGTCGCTGTCTGTCATTTTCAGATATTAGCGAATGGGAACCTGAAACCACCAGGGATTCTGGGGCACGGGTCTGGTGCCCAGATCTGCTGCAAGAAGGGCAGTGGCACCAGCTGGTTCTGGTGCTCAATAGAGCTGTTTTGAAAAATTCATCTTTTTCTATCTATGTTGATGGCCAGCATGTTCATACGCAGAAGGTAGGTGGATGACCACAGTGTAAGCACATGTCCTGTGTTGTGTCTGGTCCAATGAGCCATTCATGTTGTGTCACTTTGTGTTTGTAGCTACATTATATATCCCAGAATCCTGGTGGAGGAGCTGCCAATCTTACTGTTGCGTCATCTGTGTATGGTTTCATTGGCACACCCCCTGCTTGGCGTCGCTATTCACGACTTGTTTGGAAGCAAGGACCTTGTCACCTGGTGGAGGAGGTTCTAAGCCCCCAAGTTGTGGCTACATTGTATCAGCTTGGTCCCCAGTATATGGGGAGTTTACAGGCTCCAGAACTGAATGGTAATCATATCTGGCACATGACAGTTAAGGGGTATCAGTTCCACAGTAAAGTGAATAATGTAGTAATATATTCACGTTGATATAGAATTGTTACGAAAAAGCTAAATAGTTCCATTCAGTGTGACTGGTTAAGATTTTCTTATTTCAATTATTCACGCCCTTACATGTTTCGGTGAATAATTGAAATAAGAAAATCTTAACCAGTCACAGTGAACGGAACTATTTAGCTTTTTCATAATATTATTGTGACGGACCAGAATGAAACAAATCAAATTCATAGAATTGTTACCCTTTAATCCTTTGTATGTCACTCTTGACTATACTATGTATGTGTACTGTTTATGGTTTGTTAGCTTACCGTACCATTTGTGCTGTCTTTTTTTTTACTGAAAATGTTGAATATTTATCCGACACATTATATTGTCTCATGTAACCAAGAAGGATTGCACCCTCCATTGCTGTTTTTATCTTTTTCTCTCTCTCTTTGTAAGTGTCAGTTGTAAATGAAAGGATATCAGTAACTTACCAGTTTATTTCTGTTATGACACTGCTCACAGCTGTTCCGTTAGATTACATCACTAAGCAGGTTAAGTGGTCTGTTTTCAGATTTTTCATATGTGTCTGTAATTTATGGCAGAAAAATAAAAAAATACAAAGGAATTTTTCTGTTAGGAGAGTTGGAAATAAGTTGTCATTATGCTGCATTCTCTTTATATGGGTATTAAAGATTCAGAAGTATCGGTTATTCTCTGCATACTATTGTACTTGCGTATGAATGTGAAGTAGAGACTGGTTTTGTATCGTTTTTTTACCATCTAACAGACCCTAGAGTGTGTAGGCTTTCACATTTTTACAATTTTGATTATTTTGTTAACAGTCACTAACTGTATGACAATTCCAAATCAGTGAGACATTCCCAAACTTTTCAGCGATAATGTTCTCACTTTTGTTTTGAGCAACAGCAAATATTGATAATTCACTTTGTTTTATTTAAATCATAATCAGATAATCCTGAAGAGATATACAATCTCATGTTGTTTCACTGAGTAACCAAAGATTCAGCATGTGCATATTGTAAAAGCAAAATAATTTAAATGTATGAGCATCCGTATCAAGGCACAACTAGACAATATATGGGGGCAAAGAAACAAGTAAAGGCATTTTAATTTACTGTGAAAGTGATTTTGGCAGCACTGAAAAATAGTGTCAGTGTAAACAGTGTGAAACTTTTCTCATTTGCATTTACCTTGTTTTCATTATCTTCTTAGTAGAGATGATATTGTGAAAAGTTTAACATGGTTGCTCAATATATATGGACAAATACCGTCTTAAGTGCAACAATTTTATTGTAGTTTTTACTTCTTTTTCCTCCTCCACACTACATGTTTCGGCCCTAAATGGCCATCATCAGGTGTGTATCACTCACGTAACTGTTACACTGCTTGTTAAAAATGTAAAAATCCCAGTCTTTCTAATTGTATAAAATCTTTGTTAATCTACACGCGTCGATTTGATTTTTAAATTAGCACTTTTTAAACCTTAATTCAAGTTAAAATGTCTATAAGATCTTTGTTCTCTTTCTTTTTCAAATTAAAATTTTTCAGGGTACGTGCCCTTAAGACGGTATTTGTCCATATATATTGTGTGAGTGTAACAGGATGCTGAAATATAATATGGTTGCTCAATTTGTAGAAAGTGTCAAAGCAGAAGAATGAGCTGACTTTTATGCTCAGAGAGTGTAAAGTTTATGGGAAATGGTAGGTTGTCATGGCATGAACTGCTTGGGCAAAAGGAGAGTTCATACATTAGTGGGGAGAAACACTGGGGCACACATTCTGGATGACTATTCACTGAAACATGTATTGAAGTTAAGGAGCGGATGGGTTAGCATGTCTGAGACAACTGAAAAATCACTACCAATGAAACTGCAACTGCACTTAGCATAACTCAATGGAAATAAATAGTGCAAGGATATCCTAGCCAAAAACAATTTGTTGCAGTGTCATCAAGGAAAATACAGACCATTGGATCAAACGCATCAGAAAACAGAAAAATAAAATATGTCCAACAAATTTACAATGGCATTAAATTTTTTTAATTATCTTCATAATGTCTGTGCACAGTCATGCATGCATAAATATGTGTATGATTACAGAGGTATAGCTTTTAAAATTTGTAAGACATATATAACTGCTGAGAAATGTTTTGTTTCAGTTATGGTTGTTCTATTCTTATGTGTGAATTACATGCTGTCTAGGCACAGAACCTTTGTCAGCTCTTGTTTCTGAGGAGAAGGTAATCTTCGGGCTGAATGCAAAGGCAGTATCTCAGCTCACATTGGCAAAGATCCGAAAGGTATACAGTCGGGCTGATAACAAGGCCATAGCCAAGCAGCTGGGAATGTCATCCCATGAGAATGCTACCCCAATACGGATTCTACACAACTCAGCAGGCCACTTGGGTGGTCCGGCTCGTTCGCTTGGAGGAGTTGTTATTGGCTACCTGGGAGTACGAGTCTTCTCACCTCGACCTGTTGCGAAGATGATTGAAAATGTAGGAGGAAGCTCTGTATTGCTTGGTGAGATTTCTTTCCCAGAATTCTGCACTTTAATTGTTGTTGTTGGTATCATTATCATCACACGCGCAACTCCCTTATTCATACATCAGCCTGAGAGCTGTTAACAAGTGTTTGTCTGGTCAAAAAATTCACTGTTACAGAGACCAGAGTTTCTGTTACTACCAAGAAGTGCTTATCATTGGACAGTTTCTTGCATTGTTCATATCCAGTTTAAATCCCAACAATGTATTTCCCTATGGGTTTACTTTAATATTATCCTCCCACCAACGTCTTAGTCCCCTAGGTGTCTCATTTTGTGAAATTTTCCACCCCAGATTTGTTATGTGTTTTGTAAGTAAGTTTTAACATCGCTCACGGAGCTGTGCCCTTCTTGAGAAGCTGCCAATTATGTAGCTACTCATGAACTTCCCAGAATTTTATGAAACCCGAAGGTTCATTACTGTGTTCACAAGAACCCTCTGCTGGTCCTTATCCTGAGCCAGATCAATCCAATTCATCCCATCCTGTCTCACTGAGATACATCTCTTTCCTTCTGGCTTTCTAACCAATATCCTACATACATTCATGTTCTCCCCCATTCGTGCTAAATGTCCTGCCCATCTCATCCTCCTTCACATGATAATTCTAATTCTTCACATACTTGGAGAAGAGTACAAGCTGTAAAGCTTGTTATTATGCAGTTTTATCGAACCTCCTGTCACTTCATCTCTCTTGGGTCCAGATATTCTACACAACACCCTGTTCTCAAACACCCTTAGTCTATGTTCCTCCCTTAATGTCAGAGACTAAATTTCATAGCCATGCAGAACCACAAGCAAAATCATAGTTTTATATATTCTAATTTTTACGTTTTTAGACAGCAGCCAAGATGACAGAGAGGTTCCTGACTGAATGGTAGCAAGCATTACCTGAATTCGATCTCCTCTTAATTTCCTCCTGAATCAGAATTTGATCTGTTACTGTCATTCCCAAATATCTGAACTGTGCCACATTTTCAAAGGATTTGTTTCCTATCTTTATATCATGATTTTGCCCTGCATTTTGGTGACAAGACAGCAACATATACTTAGTTGTCTCTCTGTTTACTTCTAGACCAACCTCCTTACTAGCGCTAATTAAAAGTTTGTGTGTTTTTCTTTGTGGTATCTACATTATCACCCAATAGATTCACATCAGCATAGGCCAACAGTTGATGTGTCTCATTTCATTTCAGTCCCACCTGGTTTTTTTAGACCTTCATAATGGCACATTGTAAAGCAAATTTGGGAATTTATCGAATAAATGTTCTAGTTCTTCATAGAACCTGTCCTTCACAAGTTTTAACATGAAGTTAATGATACCAGGTGAATGAAAGAAACTGTGAAGCTTATCATTAGTTGCTCTGTTACTTAAATTCTCTTAGATGTAAATGTTATTCAAAGCATTTCTAAATATCCACAAACTTTGTTTTACCTTTGTAGTGATATACAGGCTTTTGCATGCAAATGAAATAGTTTTATATATAATTGATCTTTAATCTATTCAGTAAAGAGACAAGATAAACGATTGTGAAGTCAGTGATAGTGTGCATTTTGTGACTATCTTTAATTTCATCATAAATATACATTTTATTGTCATGCCTGTGTAATTTAACTTTGCTACATTCAGAAACACTTTTGGTTGTGTTATATTTTGTCTGGAGCTTAGGTGATCATGAAAATGTATGTACATTAAGATTTTCTGTTATTGCAGGTCTTATTGCAATGGCCCAAGATGTAGAGAGTTTGTACGCTGCAGTGAAGGCTCTGGTGTGTGTGGTACGAACAAATCGCACTGCCCAGCTGGAGATGGACAGACGGAGAGGTTACCAGACACTTGCCATGCTGCTGAGGAGGAAACGAACTCTTCTCAACAGCCACATTCTACATCTCACGTTCAGTCTCGTCGGAACAGTAGACAGTGGGAGAGAGAGCTCTTCCATTCCAAACACCACAGCTTTCCACGATCTGCTCTGTGATATTGAGGTGACTATAACAGAAACATTGTTTCGTTAGTTTGGTCACTCTTAAATTAAATATACAGGATACTTTCGTTAAATTACTTGGTACCAATGTTTTTTAAAGTTGTGAATTTTTATTTCAGCCCATTCCAAATTTTCACAGAGAGAGAAATTCTAAGAAACAGGTTTTGTTTCTGTAAGAAAGATGTTAACAGAGAATTTGTTAATCTACCAGTCAGATCAAGTGTTTATCTGCCTGTGTTATAATAGCTTTTGTGTCTTCAGGTGTGGCATGAGGCTCCGGGTGAACTGCAGCGTTCATTGTTTGAGCATTTATATGAGCTCGTAGCTGAGTCAAGTGAAAAGAGGACCAATCTGAAAATAGTGCGGGACCTTGGTCTTGTACAAAGACTGCTCCTTATTTTAGCAGATGTGAACTGTGAACCCACCAGACATGTCCTCGTGTCACTACTGGGGGTCTTACTTGGAGGTCAGCCAAGAGCATCTGACTTGTTAATGTAAGTTTGCTAATGTTATTATTAATGTCATCAGCAATGTGATAAGTAGGTTGGTAGGCAGGTATCAGTGTTTCAGAGATACCTGGTGCCTCCATTGTCTACCCTGAAAGTGGAAGCAGGAGGTTCTTCTGAAACATTGGTACTTATCTAGAACCTGCCAAACTAACTCGACATCAGATCCCAGAAGACTGTAATGTCCATGTGAGAATCAAATCACAGGAGACATAATGAATGAGGATAATATTAAATGAGAAGAAATGAGAATGTGGAATCTGGAGGAACTTTATGCATAGATGGATCTGAGTGAAGATCACAAATGGAATTTCTGTATGACTGATGTCTAGGTTATGCCTGTGGAAGGATGCCTGTAATTGTGTTCTGTGCACAAATAAATGTTTTGGAAGTCATGTCTGGGTATCCACTTATCTGCATGTGTGTAAGAAAGGAGGAACAGTTCTAAAATTTTGGAACCCCATGTGGGAGATCAGCCGCACGAATGAGCTTAACCATGGCTTAGTTACAGGAGGTAAAGGGGGAAGTTTGAGTTTTCATTGTATTTCATTTCTACAAGTTTTAGATTGAGCCGATAACTGTTCTGTTTTTTGAAAGTGCTGTTATATCACGTGTTTTGTGCAGGTTTGGTCAGTTTGTGGTGGCGACACTGCCAATTTTCCCAGGTTCCAGTGAAAAGAATCTTGCTCTGTTAGAAGCAGCTCCCAGTTCCAGTATTTCTGCATGTGAACATGGAGAAGGAGGGGAAGAGAAAGGGGACAGGGAGAGTGATTCTGCTAGCAACATTGTACTAAGGAACCGCTGCTTGCAGCTGCTTCACTCTCTGCTGTTCACACAGCGGAACACTGTCAGTCTGGGGTATGTGGAACTTTTCCCCATAAATTAATTCTGTTAAAATCATTGCAGTGTTGTAATCAGCCATAACTGCTTAATTGAATCATGATTAAAATAAACTTATCACTTGTTTAACAGTTTTATTTTGTTTACATGGCTCGTTGCTCTGAGAGAGCATTCCCTCCTTGTTATAATGATATATGTTAGGCCATATATGGATGTGGTGTTGTTTCTAGAGTTGGCATTGAAGTAAATGCTATACTCTGCCTGAGTACACACTGTAAGTAAAGTAAAAAATAAAAAGTAAAGCTATCCCTGTAACAGGCTGTCCCATAGGGTTGTGAGACGTTTAGGGTCCCACATTATCTAGAAAATCGGCTCAAAGATGGCGGTAAGGTTGTCAGCCTTACACGCTAGCCGCACTTTACTCCCCAGGAAAATTATTTAATTCGTGGTACTCATCTGTTAGAGGCTGAGTCAACCCCAGGGCCATGGTGCAGCTGGAAGGATTAGGTCAATTGAAAAAAATCCAGTGACCTCATCGGGACTTGAACCCGCGACCTTCCGGCTTGTAGCATAGTGCCTCAACCAACTACGCTACCGTGTGCCCCTGAGTTGCAAGCGGTACTCGGCAGCATTAAGGAAAATGACTTCCACAGTGCTTTTGAAGCGTGAAAAAAACAATGGGATTGCTGTATGCATTCCCAAGGGGAACATTCAGGAGAAAGCAGACAAAATTGACTAAGTTTCTTTTTTCACCTAGTCCGGGAACTTAACCGACAGCATCTTGTATGGTGGTAACATCCCTTTCACCTCATTAGTTCATGTGTCAGCCATGTTATTACTGATTGTAGGGAATTAAAAAAGTGTGAGGTTGAGTTTATTTTTTAGTCTTGGAGTGGGGCAAGGTAGGTACCCTTGATATTGGGGCTGTGTATGGGTGTATTGTACCAGCCCTCACTTGTTCTTCAGGTTCTGTGATGAAGTGACCCAGGTGCTGGGCCTAGATTGGGTCCTGCTTTTCCTGCAAGGTCACCTTCACCCCACCACTGTGGTGTGGGGACTGAGGATTCTGGTGGTCTTGTGCTCCTGTGCCCCCCTGCTCCAGAAGTTCCGAGAAGGCACAAGCAGTGGTGGATGGCTGCGTGACACAGAACTCTTTCTTCAGAACAAGATGGCCCTTGTTCTTGGTATGAGTTCCATGTTCTTGTCTAGTTAATGCTCTGAAGAAATTCTCAGTCAGTTTTCTGTGGATTTGCATCTGAATTAAACAGCACCAGTAACAGAACCAAAAGATGTAACACCGCTAATACCAAAGCCTGTCATTGGGTGCCAGTCCTCTCCACCTGTCATCATAATCCAGCCCCCTAAGTTCAGGTCTAATTTCCTTCAAGTGTCCCTTGGTCATTCCAAAGAATCTGTCCCATTCCAAGGCCTTTCAAAATGATTCATATCATAGAACACCTTATGGTGAAAGGCTCACATTACACCTACCCCCCCACATTGGGGTCCCATCCAATGTCAGCTGTCTGCAACAACATATTCAGTATTATGGGTGCACTTAGACATGGGGATAAGTCGGTAACAGTATTTTGATGGCCTATACCCTTTTCTTACTCATAAATCCCCATGTTTTAACTTAACTCAGAATACTGATCCTCATAGCAACTGTTTGAAATAAGATGGATTTATCCCCATAGCATCATTATGTAAAGATATTTATTTTGTCTGATTAAGGTATGTGGTTATGAGAATAACGCTATTTTTAAATTTGTGTGAACTCCCATTTTTATGTGAATCCTCAACATGTTGGTGGGTACCAGGAGTCTAGTTTCTTCATCCACAGCCTAAGGATGTGTTGTGCTTTGGTAACAAGCAGCCCACATAACATACAGATTGGAGCACTGCCTTCAAAAATAAGGAGCTGGGATGGGGGTGGCAGTAAACATTGGAAATATGTTACTTTTAGTCAGCATTTACAAATTTCACATTGTTTTTGCAGAAATTTCAGGCAGTGACCAATTGTATGTTTATATACATAGTTTGAATTGTTTTTAGAAATAAAACAAAGTCAAAATATACTTAATCTTCATCTTCTTTGGTTCTTGTTTATTACCCACTTCAGGCTACCAGTTTGGTGCATCTGCACCCAGAACACCTGGTGGGCCAAGAGAGGTAAAGTCTGAAGCACTGCATGTCCCAGGTTTCCAGAGACTGAACTGGCTCCTCCCACAGCACATAGATGTCCCTGAGGTGTACTTCCTCCTCATGGCTCTCATGATGGGCCAGCCTGTGAAACTCCTACCTGCTGATTCATCAAAGTTGGATCTTGACAGTGTGTGGAACTTCATGTTTGGTGTTCCAGCTAGTCAGTCTGTGACAAGTGTGGCGGGGAGAGTCTCCCTCTGTCCAGAGGTAATTAAGCGGCTTCACGCATGTATCAGGTTAAATGGAAAGTTCTTATCTTTATCTTGAATTTATTATAAAATAAAATGAGAAATGAAGACACTGGAGCAGAATTAACTGCATATTCATTAGAAGAAATACTAGCGAATTATAGATACAAATTAGCAGTGAAGTGTTCTATTTGTTGTATTGTCATATTGCATCCATTCCAGAAATAATTCATCATGCCACATACTACTGTGACTGTTTTTATATAAGGTTTAAGAAGTGTTTTATATACATTAACTGAACATCCTGCATTTTTCCAATATTTCCTCAGGCAGTGATTGTACTCCTGGCCATGGTCCGTGCCATGTTGAACCAGGAAGGAAAGAGTCCTGACAGCCTCCCCGAATGGCTGCGAGATTATCCAGTTACAATCATCCAGTTTCTCTTCTTCCTGTACCACAATATGGCAGACTTTATGCCTGTTTTCATGGGAGGAGATGTACTGGGTGCTCTGGCGGGCACGTTGTTTCCTCGGCAACCAGGCAGTGAAACAGGCAGCGGGTCTTCAACTCCCAGTGATGAGGTCAAGGTGTGTTATATTCTTTAATTAATTTTCTGACATATTTAACACGCTTGCATTTTTGAATGGCTCACATTTACTTCACAGCTCTGATGGAATCTTATGAAAATGTTTTTGAGTCCAGGTCAAATGTGAGTATTAATTTTTCTTTTTGTCACCATAATGTGTGTCAGTAAAGCGACAGATGAAAGCACAGATGCAGTATGCAAGATCATAAAAGGGTGTAGAGTTTAACATTTGTTTGTATGTTTTGTGTACAGTAGCTATATTGTTCATCTCATGTCTTGTGACATGGCCAGTGCCTACTTAGTCAAGAGCATGGAATCCATTTCTGAGATGGGGCATCCATAGAGCAGGTTCAGCTACCCTAGTGACAGGATGATTATCAGGGTGGGGGTTGGCAGAATGGGCATACAGCTTTTTTTTTAATGTTAGTGGGGTGGGACTAAGTCCCTTGTACTGCGGTCACTTCTGGCTTATTGTACCAGCCCCAGATGATAGGTGAGGGTGATTGTGGAGCAATTGGTGGAATGAAGATTGGCAGAGGAAACCGAAGTACTCGGAGAAAACCGGCCTCAGGGCTACTTTGTCCACCACAAATCCAACTTGACCAGACCCCGGGATCGAACCCGGACTGCCACGGTAGGAAGCCAGCGACTAACCAGGGCATACAGCTTAATGCAGGCCACTAACTATGTGGAGGAGGATCCGGTATTCCTCATATTCCGAAAATTATAGTAGTGATGAAAGTTTCAGCCAGTGAGCAAAGAAATCTGCACATGTCTGTCCTGGGATTAAACTCAGAACACTCAGAATATATGTCCAGTATATACTTCAAGGCCACTACATCCCACAGCAGTTGGTATATAGTAGTCCTCTGTTAATACAGAACAGTTTCGGGCAATGTGAGGAAAAAAGAATTTCAAGATTCATGAACTGTTTTTATGAAAAGATGAAACTTAACAATTAAGATTTTAATTCAAGTGTGTAAGAATTATCACAGGTAAACATTTACTACATATGTCTGTTATATAAGTGCCCTATTTAAACTTTCCTGCATAATGAGGAGCTTCATAACTTGTACTCTTCTCCAAGTATAATTAGAATGATCAAGTCAAGGAGGATGGGGTGGGCAGGTCATGTAGCACAAATGGGGGAGACAGGGAATGTGTATAGGATATTGGTGGGAAAGCCAGAAGGAAAGGGACCACAGGGAAGACCAAGGCATAGGTGGGTGGGCAATATTAGAATGGATCTGAGAGAGATAGGATGGGATGGTATGGATTGGATAGATCTGGCTCAGGATAGGGACCAGTGGAGGGCTCTTGTGAACACGGTGATGAACCTTCGGGTTCCATAAAATGCTGGGAAATTCTTGAGTAGCTGCAGAATTGGTGGCTCCTCAAGAAGGGCTCAGCTCCATGAGTAAGTAAGTATAACCATTAATGTAACATACTCCGCTAGGCAGAAGTCTAAAACTCGTCAAATTATACCAGTAGTTTAAAGTGTTCAGGCGTCCACAAGTCAGCTTTTTTATTTTACGATAAACTTGAAATGTTTCAGTGTTTCAGTGCATCGATTTTTTCAGTAACTTGGCATTTCTGTGTAAAGACACTTGACTTCACTTGCTTATCATTGTTCATCAGTATAAGCTGTCTGCCATCAAAATGAAGTAACTGAATTGAGCTCCATGGTGACTGAAATCACACTGGTCCTGCAGTTTAACCTCATTTGAATGGAAATGATCAAGTATGTCTCTCAGAACATAGTATTGATGACAGTAAAGATGGCATGACTTGTAATATTCAGTTCCCATCTCGGGTATGTTAAAAACTGCACTTGAATGGTTTCAGTTGAGGTTCATGGATTAT